TTTAATTATTTTTGCAAAGAAAATAATTTTATATGGATGAGTTTTAATTTAATCTTCAATATGTTTCATTAAATCATCACAACACTGTAAACAACTCCAACTTTATATTCAATTATTCGATTCTAATAAGACGTCAATTTCTACTATAACAAATCCAATTTTTTATAATAACATTACTGGGAGGAGGAGAATGTTAAATAGCAATAGAATAAACCTAAACATTAGTAAAATATTATTATTATATTATATATTTTTTATAAAATTTATATGATCTATTTATTAATAATTGTGTCATGCATGCACATAATATCGGATTGATCAATTTAAAAATATCCGATATATTAATTTATTCAAATCGGGCGGCTATTAAAAAATCCCGACTTAATTCTAATATAATAAAGATAATCAATAAATAATCAATTTTAAATTATAGCTTTATCCCCGACTAGCGGCTTGCGGAAATCTTTATGGTTAATATCGATTAAAACATTTCCCGCTTTAACACCATAAATTTCTTGCTTGTAGCAATAAGCGGTTTATTATTATGCTCTATAAATTATGATATCAACTATTAATTGCGACATGCGATGATTAATTAATCCTGTATCTATTATAATAATCCTCAAAAAATATTAATCAAATTTAGCCAATAGTGTTCTTTTAAAAAATATTTGTCCAATAAAAATGATTATAACGTACTTGGTCCAAATGTAATCATTATACCAAACTCAAACATTCATCCACTTATTTCTGACACATTTTTCCATCTTCATAAGATTAAATTTTTATACTTATTAGTCATATTATTTTTCTAAAATAATCAATTCAGAAAAAATCAACTTGTATATACTCAACCCATAGAAGGCGTTAAGATATTCATAACTATAAAATCTAACAAATTTTATTTAGATAAATTATTAATAAAAGAAATGTACTCAACCCACAGAAGGCGTTATGATATTGAGCTGCAGGCTAAATATTCATTTTTCATAACTATAAAATCTAACAAATTTTATTTAGACAAATTATTAAAAAAAAGAAATTTATCAAATCAGAAAATTTAGCTTAACCACTTGCATTTTGTTTGATTATATATTTTAAAAAGGTCATATAAGTAAATATTTGCATTTATATCATTCTCAGTTTAGTTACACCCTTAGAGTTGTAAGATTGAAAACATCATAATTTATGAGTTATCACTTCTATGAAATATAATAGGTCTGTTATTTATTATCATTGTAAGCAGTTTAAATTTTTTAAAATTGGCTTCAAGGAAATTTAAACTTCAATTATTTTATTTTGATGAGATCACGAATATTAAGGTAAAATAAGAGAGGACATGTGCCTCCCTGCTGGATCCTTTCATCAGAGTCTATGAAATGTGGGCTGAATAAAGAAAAGTTTTAATGTCACAGTATGTCTCTAGGAATTAGGAGTAAAACAATTAATGTTCACGAATGTTATTAAAAGCATTTTTAAAGTATACTTTGATAATATCCATGTAGGAAGAAGATTCTGAATATAATATGAATGGCACTATTTTGACTTCTCCCTTAACACTGAATCCTAATTACTATGTATACCTAATAAGTTTAGACCATGGATTTTCTTCTAAATAGCTAATTGCAATGGAACGAATTATATTCTTCTCATTTGGCTATTTATTAAAGGAAAGATTCTTTCAACATTAGCATTATGAGCTGATATAGAAAAAAATAAAGCTTGCTATAATAGCAGTTAATTACATTTTAAGGATTAGAATATAAGAGAAATCAGACCCATTTTTATGAAGAGCAGATTTTACATATTCAACTATCTGATTTTATTTTTGACTATTTGGGAACATTTTTAATTTCTATCCAATGGAAACATTCAATTTTTTTAGGGTTCTGACTAAGAGCAAAATATAATATGCTATGTCTACATTTAATAAATTTTTTTCATTGCATCTATTTATATTTTTTGTCCATTTTTAACATTTGTTTCAAATATTACTTCTACCTTTGATAGATTTTATTTTTTTCTTTCTTTTAACAAATCATCGCCTGAGATTTATATTATTCTATCTCCACTTTTTTCTGTATTCTTAATATTAGAAATACTTTCTAATTTTTTTTTTAAATGTGTATATTTTATAGCTCCTCATCACTTAATTATATAAAATACCATGATTTCTTAAAAAATCATTTTTATTATTATTCTAAAACTGGAGATATTATAAATATCAAATTTTATTTTTATTATTTTAAAAAATATTATTCTATTCTCCAAACAAATTCTCTTTAAATCTAAAAGTTTTATTGAATTATAATTACTATTGTAAACACCAACAGACTAAAATTTTATTTTAAAAATTTAAATATAATATTTATATTGGAATGAATAAAAATTATGGTAATATTATTTTTCTTAAAATAATAATAAAAAATTATCTTTTTAATTTTTTGTTTTTTGAACCAGTAATATCAAGATCTTTATATAAAACCATACAATCAGTTAAGAAATAGGGAGATGGAATAATCTAATATTAGCTTAATTTATTTTATAAGTTAAAATTATAATATTTTTTTATGTAAATAGATTAATATATTCTTAAATAATCAATCTTATCAAAAAAAATTATTTTTGACAAAAATTAGAATAACCTCTAACTCAGGTGACAAAATACTTATAATGATTTAAAATGGTTTAACCTTTCAATCAGAGATCTTATGGGAAGGCTTGCTGCCCATGGGGTGCCAGGTATTATTTACAACGTGCTTGGGTCAGGACTGGGTTTTTGATAAAAACCCTAAAAATATTTCATTTAAATTTAGTCTATTAAACTATGGCTAACTTCAAAATATATTGCATTTTTTTTCTTTAATAATAATAAATTTCAGTATTGCAAACAAAGTGATTGCCTAAATACACTTAAATATTGTTTATTTTCATTTAAAACAATTAATTAAATTTTGAAAATGGGCTTGGGCAAAATTTTTGAAACTTATGATGGGCTTAGGTTTGAATTTTTTATTAAATATGGACTGGGCCTATAAATTACCTTTACTGTTGACCTGGGCTGGAGGCTGATGAATAAATCAAGGTCTCTAATTTCAATAACTGAATTATTTCATTTCTCATCTCACTTTATTTGAACTTAAAGGAATGGGCAAACCACAGATATGCGTTATTTAAATCATTTGCTAAAAAATTTCTGATAATTGCTGGATTTAAGAAATTGTTGGACACAATGAAATAATGAAAGCCTTGTGAAGTATATATATGAAAATATTTATCCATTTTTATTTTAGCATTAATAACAAAAAAAAATAATGCCTATTGTGACCTTGTCTTAAATTTATATATATTTTAGGGATTTTTTAAGAACCCGTTATCAAAAATAAAAGTTTCTAGCTGATTGTTCGTCAAGAATGAAGGGGAATCATAATTTTCTCTTTTATTCAATGATAGATGACTAATGAATATCGCCTTTATTTGATGATATATGAATCAGAAATTTCCCTATATTATGAGGTGTTATTCAGAAATTTATATTTATTTAGATAAGGGGTTATTCTAAAATTTTCCATTATTTTTATAAAATATGTTAATGAAGTATATATTTATTAATTTTAATTTATGTTGCACTATCAAAAATCTTTTAAACTAAATTTTTATTCATTTGTATTTGTAATTTATAATCTAAAATATTTATTTTTGCTAGACATTAACATATTTTATAAAAAGTATGGAAATATTAAAATAACCCCTTATCTAAATAAATATAAATTTCTGAATAACATCTCATAAGATAGGAAAATTTCTAATTCATCCATCATCAAATAAAGGAGAAAATTCCGATTCCCCATCATTCTTGACGGGCAATCTGCTAGTTTTATAATAATTTATAATACTATTGCAATTATATTTTCTAAAGTACAAACTATTTTCCATATAACCATTATCACAACAGAATATGAATATTTTTTGTAATTCCTTTTGCATCCCATCCCATTTTCTATAATAATCTATAATACTATCGCAATTATATTTTCTACAGTACAAACTATTTTCCATTTAACCATTAATCACAACAGAATATGAATATTTTTTATTATTGCTTTTGCTGTAGTATAATGTCAATTTATATTCTATTAATTCTTTATTTACTAAAATCTCTATAATATGATCACTCAGAAGCGGACTGCATTATGGTTAACATTGATAATATAAGTTTTTCTATATTTTGGCAGGGAGAATCGAGCTACATGGGTTAAGATAAGAAGCTAGTCACCTTTTGTTGTATAATAAATGTTGGATAACTATTTTTTATTCTATTTTTTAAAATTTAAACATTAATTCATCGGTCTAAACTATAATTAATCTTAAAACATATAGACTATAATTACCAATGGTTATTATTTATGCATATAATATAAGCTCAATTTCAGTCAAGAATAAAACAGCCCAAAATTGTATATTTTATTATACGATTCATGGATAATTGAGTTAGTTCTTTATTACTAAATTTTATTAAGGTTTTAATTCTTGAATTTTAAGATACGGTACTCACATAAGTCATAAACACTTGTGTTTATTTGATTTTTTTTATTATGTAGTTATTACTATTTAAACCATTGGTATTACCACTAGCTCTTATAATTTAAACAAAAAAGTCCATTATCTTGATACTAATTGCTCGAATCTAAACTCTTTCCTCAAATAAAAAAAATATTACGCTCGCTCATAATGAAATTAAAAGTAAAAAGTTAAACTAATCGATCACTTGACTCATTTATTTTATAATTAGAAGAACAGAATTGAGGGTTTATGATGTGTGTTAGGGTTAGTATATAAATATGAGACGAGAATGATGAGTGATTAGCTAAATAATACATAAGTATTTAATGATAAAAATTAACAAAATGAAAGTCATCATTTACTATTGGATTTACTATCTTATGAGTAATAAAATAATAATCATTTCATAATTACAAAAATTTTATTACGGCTTTTAGAATCTTCATCGAATTCAACGCCCAACTATGTTTATAACGTTAAAAATATCGACACACTAACGCTAAACGGCGTCAAACGCTGCTCTGATAAAATGATTAAAAAATTGACTTCTCAAGGCAGATTTCGCAAAAATAATAACAATAATAATATAAATAATGCCCACTGCGCTTTACCTCCCACTAATTCCACCTTTTGTGGCGAATCCAATTTTAACCACATTAAATCGTCCCATTTTACCCTTATCAATATTGAGGAAAATCACAAACCGAGTTTAAACAATGTTTATTACGTCAATGGAATTAACGGGAACGTTAATTATAAAAGGAAAGAATCCAACCGGAAAAAATACAGCAAACAGTCGCAGACGGGCGGCATGTATAATGGACAAAATATGGTTATCAATGGAGAAAATTGCAAACTGACTGTTAATGGTACAGAGGCCAAAGCTCTCTCACAAGTAATCCTTTATATAAATTTAATAAAACTAAAAATCGCTAAATTAAATTTAAGTAATGAAAAAGCATTATATTATAAATGTAATTGTAATAATATACAAAATAAAAAGGTGTGAGAGAAGGGGATATGATGAATAATATAAGCAAATAAATATAAAAAATGGTATAGTAATAAAAACTGGGAGAATGATTAAGCTGAAATAAGTTTTTGCACTCCTAATTAGCAATTAGCAAGCATTTCCTCCCAAAAAAGAAGAATTACATTATAATCGGTCTTTATTACCCATTCATTTGTTTACCTAACTTCTTGAAAAATATCGGAGACTTATAGGCCCGACCAAAAAAAATCCGAGCCTTGCAGTGCAAATGGTGCCTCTGCAGGTCTCTGAAAAATATTTTAGTTATTTTGGCTAGCCAAGAATAAAGCTATATAGATATAACTGAGTATGTATAGGCTAAGATTGAAGAATATTTTTAAACATCGTTGAAATATACTATACTACATAATCCCTATTTTTTAATTTGAACTAATCCCATTTTTGCTGAACCCGTCTTGTTTAAATGTCTCTTCCTTCTTTAAGTCTTTATTCTCAAGTTTATGATTATCATTATAATGGTTCCTATCCTTTTGTATCTATCTATTCCATTATCGTATATCATTATATTAAAATTTTATATTATTGAATTAAAGCTATGTTTTATAATACAAAATGTGCTTAATAATATTTTTCTTTACCACACTTTTTTTTATACAAAAACGTAATAAAAAATTTCTCAACAATTTCGTTATCTTCTTCTCTAATTGCTCAATTCCAAAATATATTATTTCCCCGCCGTAATAGTTATATTAATTTTTTTAGTTTATTTCTTTATTTTATTAGCTTTGTTTAAAAAATTTAAACATCGAATTGATTTAATTTTATTTATTTTATGCCAAATTTTCCCTAAGGCGTTAAAATTTTTTATTAATAGATTGAGCGATTCTTATTTTTTTTTATAGATTCATGTTATAATTTTATTGAGTGGATATAAATAATTCTGAAATTTAAAGGAATATATTTTTCAGAGACCTACAGAGGTACCATTTGCACCGCCCTGCCCTCATTTTTTTTCAAAAATTTTTTACGGCCCGGCCCGGGTTTAAAAATCAACGATTTTGTGAAATTTCTTGCTTCTGAGAAAAACATATTTTATCTTTTTTTATTCTAAACAGATATTTAGTATATTATAATTTAATACTAAAAAAAATTTGTGTAAATAATATTTTGAATTATTTTTTATATAAAGTAATCCTTTTATTTGTATATTTATGGGTAAATAGTATTTTTAAAATATTACAAAATGTAAATTGTATATAATTAGTATAATAAATTATATGTTGGGAGCAGGGTTGCCAGGTCAAAATTTTTAAATAGCGGGGAAAATATGAAAATTGTGGTAGAAATGTAAAAATTGCTAAATAAAATTTTTCGGCCGAGATTTTGAATTAACTTAGTTATCCGCCTATTTTTTATAATAATTTGTTTATAATACAAAGTCAATAACTATTTTTCAAAATAAAATAGTTAATTATAGTACGAGACAAAATTTTTTAAATACTATTTATTATTGTAATATTTATCGGAGTGTGGCTAGATTTCCTCCAGAGGTTAGAGTTAGAGATGACTGGGATAAAAAATACCATTTATCGTTCTTAGACAATTATTTATAAAGGATTGAATGCGTCTTAAGTCAGTCTTGTTAGCTTCCCATATGTCACTTCCGTATAATAATAGTAGAGTTGAATAGCCTCAACCTCGTGAAAACCGATATTTCCTTAGATTTCCAGATTTTCGTGTACATATAGAACGCTCTTTTGGCTTTTTGCGTTCTAATCTTCATTTCCTCCTTGCATTCCCCTTTGTTATTGAGCATCACACCCAGGTATTTGATATCTACTTTTTTGATAACGTTTCCGCCTGCCAAAAAATTTTGGATAAAAAAGGGAGTAAAACAAGGTTGCACTTTATCACCGCTGCTTTTTAACATCATAATAAATAAAGTCATAAAGGAGGTAAATGCTGCTGCCGACTTGGCAGACTTTGGGTCTAATGAAAATTTTCACTTTGTTAATAAGATCGTAAAGAGCGTTTTATATGTACACGAAAATCTGGAAATCTAAGGAAATATTGGTTTTCACAAGGTTGAGGCTATTCAACTCTACTATTATCCCCATTTTATTATACGGAAGTGACATATGGGAAGCTAACAAGACTGACTTAAGACGCATTCAATCCTTTATAAATAATTGTCTGAGAACTATAAATGGTATTATATACACATAAAGGGAAACAGTATACTAAATACAAATCGTTATGGTATTACAAAGCTATAAAAGACGTGATGGAGCTGAATGTAAACATGAAACAATTTATAAAGCTTAATAATTGCAAAAGGTCTATCAGAAAACTCTTTCGCATCAAAGATAGATATTTCAGATGAAAATTGTTCCTAGGGATCTCTCGTTCACATACCTTTTTCTTACTTTTCTTCTTCGATTTCTTATGTGGATTTATTCCTCTCGAAAGTATTTTTCTTTAATTCACCTCAAAAATAAATAAACTTGCTTTAATACAGTAAAAAATTTTTAAATTAAGTTATCCACCTCCCACCTTTAAAGTAATTAATTTCAAAAGCAGTTCTTGGGTATAGGCTATTTTTTTGGTCCCGCTCTTTTCCTCTAAGCCTATAGACGTTTTAATAACATTTCTTAGAAATGTTGTGCGTACAAGTACGTGCGGCTTGCCCACAAACGTGTGGAGGGCTCCTCATATTTTTTTTCTCCCCCAAATTAATAAATTCCAATTAGATGGAAATGAGGAAAACCTACCGTTGCTCTGTTGTGTATTCAACGTTAGAGGGCGAATGCCCTATATATCACGTATCACGTAAAAATAACATCTTGATTTATTAAAATATATTAATTTTATAAAAAAAAACGATTTTAATTTTACAATGTAAAAAATATATTTTATGCGAAAGTCCCGCAAAACTACCGCAATTGAAAATCTACCGTATGTTTGTGAATAACATTATAGGGATCGGCGCGTACGCAGAGGGAAGCAAGGGGACAACCCCCCCCCCCCCCCCCCCCCCCAAAGCCAAAAAATGCATAGGCCGGATTATATTTTTCAAAAATATTATTTTTTATATTTGTTAATATTTATTCCTATCTCATATGTAAATTTAATTACATTTATTTATTACATTAATCTACTAAGTTATTTTTTCAATTAATTTCGATTTCAAGTTTTCCTTGGCTTAATATTTACCTATTATATTTCAATATTAGTGGCTTAATATTTATCTAAATTTCTAGTCAAATAATAATTATCTCTGAAATTCCTTGTCTAACAGGGAGAAAGAAATTGCTAGCTTGTCCAACGAGATCGAATCTCCGCCATCAAGCAGTAACAGCTTTTATGGAGTTAGAAGAGCCGATTATTAATGCTATTACTGAAATATCATAATGGTTTGAAAGAAATAATTCCTCAGTAGCAAGAAAATTATTGGATTCAGTACTTATTCCAAATTTTTTTTTCTCAATGTATTATTTAACTATACAACTATTTTATGTAATACTTTTCAAAAACATGACATTGACTTGTTTAAGAGGATGAGAATAGCGGAGAGCATTATATTAGAACTCAAGGAAATTAGAGCTAATATTAATGAAGAATTTCATATTTTATATATTATTGTTGAGTCAAAGGCAGAGCTATACGTGTTTAATATTTGTTTCCCTTGACTTGCAGCAAGCAAGCTCATCGTCAAAACATTAATATAGGATCAGTAGAAGAGTATTATAACCCAAATAAATGAATGGGTTTTCATTCATCATGCAGCACTTACCAATCTGCAGAACTTCCACAAAAGCCTTCAACCTTTTTCAGATGGTGATAGAAAAAACCAAATATTTATTAAATTTTTATCATGAAGATGTTAATGTATCTTATGATGCCTTATTAGCTGAATAACTATGATTAAAAGATTAACTATGGTTGATATAGTCCCAAAAAATGCTATGGATGCTTTGCATTATTTCAAACACATTTTAGATTATATTCCCAATATATTAAAATGGTTATATATATTAGCAACTCTTCCCATTAGTAAACTAATGAGAGAACATTCTCTTTTTAAGAAGAATAACAGCCCTGCAGAGGTACCATTTGCAGAGCACGGCCCGGATTTTTTATTTCTAAATTTTTTTTGGCCCTTCCCGGGTATTTTAAAAAAAAATTTCAGGCCCGGCCCGGGTATGTTTTAAAATACGGGCCGGGCTACAGGTCTCTGATATTTTTTAATAATGTTTAATGTTTTTTTTTAAACTTTAACTAATGGCAATGAATCAACTAGCACCCGATTAGATTTAAGAACAGATTTGTTTCTAGTAATCCTGGTACAAGAAACAAATCAAGGAACCAGAAAATCTAATCATTCTTTTAAAATTTATTGGAACCAGAATTAGGATTGCCAAAAATTATGTTTTTTTAAATTAAAGTTAAAAAAATACCTTTTTATTTTAAATAAAAATTTTTCTATATTTATATTAAGTTTTTTAATAAAAAAATATATTATATATGTGTTCCGAAGAAAATAATGTAATATGTATTAATTGAATACACATTTACATTAGACTAGTGAAGCACATATATATCCAGAAATATATTACGCAAGCCTTTAAGATTTTGCTTATATATGGCATAGAGATTTGGATATCTATTAGAAAAATCTCGAGGCATAGGAAATATTTTTCTGTATAAAATATTGAGTTAGTTTTTTTTAATAATCAGCTCAAATGGTGCGATTTTGCATCACTACATTAGACATCTCTCTGTGGAATTTATGAATAAACTATTGTTAAATACATTGTATTGACTAAAAAAATTTTATGATTAATTAATATTTATATTATAATTTTATTATAAGGGTACTGAAATAATTATATGGATTCTTACTTAAATTTAAACCATAATGTTAAAAATTAAAATAAATTTTTTATGGTAGTTTATTATAAAAATAAATCAGGATTAACTCAAATAAAATTTAGTGTATTACAACTTATTGTTCCAATTATTTGCTCATATTAAAGGTGAAGGTACTAAATATATATACTTACTTCATCAACTTATTTTATAAAAATAATGAAAAATTTCGGGATTAACTCTAATCAAAATAAAGGGAAATTTATGATTCACACCTCATAAGATAGGCTAATTTTTGATTCACCCATTATCAAATAAATGGTGAATTATGATTAACCCATCAGCAAATAAAAGAGAAATGTATGATTCTCCGTTATTTTTGACTTGTTATCAGCCTGTATTTTCATATGTAGTATTAAAATAAAGATCTTGTATATATTTCTTCTCCATACTTTATAAATTTTTTAAATATCCTTAATAAAAATATTATTTAGACATTATAAAACTCTAATTATACTTGTAGCAATACAATCATAATTAAAAAAATATTAGAAATATTAGGTGCAGATTCATAAATATTTTTTCCTAATATACATAATGTGACCCTATAAAGGTAAAAGAATTAAAATAAAAATAAAAAAACATGTAAATTAATTTTCACACTAACACCTGATAACTTTATGATGGTAAATCAGAAATGACGGGGAATCATGGATAATGGTGAATCACATACCACAAGGTAGGAAGGGATATTTGTTTGGACTAATATTTCTAAATTTTTTCAATCAATGAATTTGATATTTCAATTATAGAAGATTATATGTGAATGTTTTATCTTTTTAAATATTTTCCTATCTCTGATGACAAAATAATTATTTTATAATATTTTGATATTTACATCTTGTAAGGGCCACAATTGCCCATGGGTAACGACAGGCTCAAGCAGGAAAACCTACATCTCTAAAGCTTTGTCTTTTCATTTTTTGTAATCACAAAAAACGGGAATAGTAAACTAACCTCCTCTTAAAGTATGGCAACTGAGAGTTACTGAGCTAGATCTATCTTAGAGAGAGAAAAACTAGAAACCCCTTTTAGTGCCTGTCAATATCTCATCATCGATAAAATTATAATTTAAATGTATGATTACGTCCTTTGGGCTGTTGCATAGGCGGAAATATGATTTTATTATGTGGTGATTTTAGACAGACGTGACTAAAGGCTTCAAATTCGAGATTATAGTCGTGTATTATAAGTTGAGATTTATGGAGTTATTTTAAAACAGTACATTTGATTGATAATATGCATACTTTATTAGTGCAAGGTAATTACAACGCTTGACTATGCTGATCTTTTCCTAAATAGTGTTAAAATTCCACATTATTAGCCTGAAAATTATTCGAGAATAAAATGTTTTTATGATAATTTTATCGAAATTGCTGATATAAATAGCCTCTCTACCAAAATAATATTAACCATCAAACTAAATCGCATTTACGCCTAACAACGACATCATTAATATTATTTCAGGCGCTTTCAAGCATTAATATAATGCTGATTCCATTGAAAGCTATAATCAGATATAATGAATTTTCTCAGGTCGTTACAATTGTTATTCTTTTACGCAAGAGCCCAAACAAATGACTTTATAATGGTTACCCGCTTAATCATATGACATTTACATGATAATTTTATTGTTGAGGTGTTGACAAGCACTAATAAGTGATTTCAAGTTTTTCTCCTTAAAATAGATCTTGCACTAAGTGACTCTTAGTTGTTTATTTTAAAAAGACATTAGTTTCTTATAAATCCCCTTTTTGAGATTACAAAAAATAAAAGTCAAAGACCTTTGATGGGTACTCCTACTTGAACCCGTCTTTGCCCATAGACAACTATATGTGGCTCTTACAAGATTAACAAATAATATGAAAATAATGATTTTATCAGAGGTACAAAGGAAAATTTTAAAAAATGACACACGATATATAATCTATAATTAAATCTTAAATTCATAGATTGAAAAAATTTAGAAATGTTTATCCAAACAAATATTCCTTCTTACATTGTGGTTTGTTATTTACCATCTTTTATTAGTGCTGTAAACATTTTTAAAAAAATCGAACGCGTTCGCGTTCAACGTTCATTGACAAAAATCGAACACGTTCACGTTCAAATTCAAAAAAAGGAACGCGTTCAAGTTCATGAACGCGTTCATACGTTCAAAATTTTATGATAAATTTTTTTTAAAATTTAATTTGATATAAATAAATGCCTTATATTTTTCAACACAATATATTAGCCATGATAAAAAATTATAGTTTTATTTTGATAATATAATTATAAATACAATATAATAGAGCGATAAAAAAATAAATTTATAAAAAAATTTTCTTATTAATTTTTAATAATAATTGCTTTTCAAAATTTTCATCTGATAGGCATGAACGCTTGTCAGTTAATACAGCGTTAGCTATACTAAAAACTCGCTCAACAGGGGCAGATGAAGGGATTGCGGTGTTATACTTGATAAATAATTCTTTTAAAAGGGGGAATTTATTAAAAACATTTAATGTTTTATCCATTGTTTCAAAAAATTGAGCTATGTTATCATCCTCTGCCCTCTTCTTCCTCGTCAAAAAAAAAGGATATCTCGGAATTGATTTTAAAAGAGTGAAATATTTTTGATATTTGGGCCATGGTAATTCTAATTCATCTAATATTGAATTTTGCTTTTCAGAATCTGATGATGAAATATTTATATCCATGCAAATGTTAATCTATTAAATTAAAATATAAAATATTCAAATTAATAAACTTTAATCTTATCTTCTCTAGCAGTAGCACGTTATGGTACGTTAATTGCAATATGAAAGAGGAAAAAGTAAAAACATCTGATTAAAAAATATAAGACTTTTTTGTTAAAAAATTGGATTAAATATTAATTTTTCAAATAAATAAAAATCTAAGACTTTTTTGTTAAAAAATGCGGATTAATATTAATTTTTCAAATAAATAAAAATAAAAAGTGTTTTTAAAATTGAACGAACGTAAAATTGAACGTGTTCATCAAAGAAAAGGAACGCGTTCACGTTCAAAGTTCGTCAAAAAAAAGGAACGCCGTTCATCACCTTTTTTCAAAAAAAACGAACTTCGTTTTACAACACTACTATTTACAATCTAAGACAATTTTTATTTAATATTTCTTTTAAATAATATCTTGTGAATTATTTTTTTTACAACTGTAAAATTTCTTATATATTAATTAATTAATATAAATTAATGCTTTAACTTCATTTATAAAATATATTTTCATATTATGAAAGTTTTGCTCAACAAATCTAACTTTTTATAATCAATTAGTAAAAAAAATAATTTGGAAAGGAATCCATATTTTAAAATGTATCTTTTTGATTTGTAATTTATTTGGCAGGCAATTTTTAAGATTAATTTAGTTTGATTTTTAAGGGATCACTTATTTATTTTAATAGCAAAATTAAATAATTGGCACGTGGTTGCAATCATTGAATTTCAATTATTTAAAATAACGAGATCTATGTTTTTGGTTGAAATGTCTGATACGTTAATAAGGACCTATCCGAAAAAGTTAAACGATCTATTTATTCACATAGAAAAGCGGGAAAATTATGAGTGCTCAAAAAATTGGTAATTTAAATTTTTACCCATGTGCGGGCCTAACCGAATTCAAAAAAGAATGTCTACCCGAGTCCGATCGAGACAGGTATATACACGACCTTCATTTTAATAGTGTAAATATGATGGTCACATGACAATGCGCATATATTTTGCCCATTTATTTACTTTTATTTCAAATATTTTAATAACAAATATGTAAAAAAAAAATCTTGTCATTAGGAGGAGATAAGCAAAAGACTTTCGCTACCTATTGATATACACATACCAGAAAGTTTTTTAACTAGAAATTTTTCGCAACCGCTCCTAAACGGACCATTAAGTCGAAAGGACAGGAGGGATTCTCTTTACGAAATTGGGTTCGGTCGTAGTGATACTTACACCAAATTGGACAAAGTCGGAGAGGTTTAAATTCAAAAATATTTTAATTTATTTCAAGTATGATTTAGAATTATAAGAAAGAAAGTACTAAGAACTTTTTCTTTGGTCGTGAATTGTAAGTTCTATAAGTTGAACGCTGGCATTTATATATAATCAAGCTAAATTTTGCTTACTTCGCTCTACTATTCCATTACCTTTGGTGGTATAACATAGGTATTTGTTTTATATCTTTCACACTTTCTACATTTTTGAGGTCAACATTTATTTTAATTATCTGACCTTCAATAATTTGGTTAATTTCTATATAGACTTGCAATATCAATGTCCATGGTTTTTTGTAAGATTATAGGGATTGTCATAAAATCAATAGGAAGTCCGTTTAACTTGAAGTACCCTAAATATGTACTAATTGTCACGATCACTCTGAATTACGATTTTTTAGTCATAGGATCTAACGAAGGAGAACATTAAACAAATGTTCACAAACAGCCTATATTAGCGTCTACCTGAATCAGGACTAGCAATATATCTAAAAAATGCACATTTTTTTAGGCTGTCATAGAATAGGGCCTAGAATCAACGCAAACTGATTGTACTAAAAATACGGAATCTATAATAACTATCCAGAACCTATATATTTAACCGAGATCCGATTATCATTGGCCTAGTTACTTGTTATTCAAAATTCATCTATTCTATCCATTGTATCAAACCGAATTCGATTTAGTCAGGAGACCTTTTCAACACTTTGATTACTGAATTAAAAGCAATAAATAAAAAAATTTTAAACTATAGTTATTAGTTTATTATATTATACCCATTTTAATGGGATCTAAAATGTTGAAACCGAAAAAAATAGTAGAAGTATGATTAGAATTCTGGGGCCATAAACCATACAAATGGTAACGGGGGCTGGAAAATGAATGTAAACGGGAACTCTATAGTGTCTTTAAACAATTTTTACCTCGTCGCTTGTTATAATTTCATTTCGAATAATTTTACAATTAAGGGATAAGATGTATACCCTCCTCGACTCAAACAAGAATCGAGTTGGCTTAATTGTAATAAGCAATTGATAAACTGTAGAATGTTATTAAATTAACTAATCTAAAATTGGCAAACAAGTTTTTAAAAAATAGTAACAATGATTAACCGATTTATTTATTTTTTATAAAAAAAAAAGTATATAGAAAGTTATATCTGACTCACCAAATTTTGATTAAAATTCACATTATGAAAAGATAAGACAAAATGAATTAACGAAGTAATGTTAATTCCTTTATTTATTTCATTTATGAATTACTAGCTGATAACCCGTCAGGAATGACGGGTAATCAGAATTTTCTCCGTATGGATAATAATAAATTTTACCTTCATTTGATTATGGATGAATCAGAATAATAGTCAAATGAGAGGAATAGATTATCCGTATTTATCCTTCTAAGATTTCTATAAATTTTTAAAGAAAATACCAAATATATTATGAAAAATATGGAATAGAAATAATATGATTTTTAAGTTTTGATATTTATTAATTCTTTTAAGAAATTTTCCACATCCAGACGCAATGGTTTTTGCTCTCTCACTTCTTATAAAATCTACATTCTTCTCAAAGAATCATTTAAATGTTTTTTAAACCTTCCTAAATTCATCTTTAAAAAAGGACCTGCCATAATAGATTCGAATCAATCATGGGGGCAAACCTGATTATCTCACAAAACTGTGGTGGTATCCACCCCATTGCAATGGGCTATTTAGAAGATTATTAGCAAAAATAATTGCCATGGGTCAAAACCCAGGGTCTTAACTTATTAAGTATATTTATCATTTAGTATTTGGTGTTAAGGGAGAAGGCATAACTTCACATGCCATTTGTATTCCAAATTCCTCCTCCTAGGCTATTATCAAAGTAGAATTTAAAAATGCTTTCAATAGCAAATTTTGTGAACATTTCATAAATTGTTTTTATCCCAAATTTCCTGTTTATTCAAAATTCCTAGAGACATACTGTAACATTAAAACTCCTTTATTCAGCCCACATGTCATAGATTCTGACGAAAGGATTCAGCAGGGAGCACACGTCCGCGTTTATTTTACCTTGGTATTCATTATCACATCCAATATCTTAAATCTAAATTTGATTTGGATATAATTATTTGGCATCTTGATGATGGAACAATCTGTGATGCTCTTCCTAAAATAATTGGTTTTCAATTTCTTGAAGCCAATTTTAAAAGACTCATTCTTAAGTCCAAATCCAAAATCTGTTTCCATGATAACAATATACAAAACCCTCATCTGGCAAATAAATTTTTTTAGTGAGTACATAAATAATAAAAATTAAAAAAAATAAGGAAATTAATATAATTTAAAAGTATACAAAGTTAGATTAACAAAAAAAATGCATTGCTGGGATTCGAACCCAAAGCCACCAGATTCGTAAGCGACGCTCTAGCCGAATAGGCCACAGACGCTTTTCAAAGTTGACGATTTTTTAAATATACATTATAAATTGTGACACTGTGACTATGACGCGGCTTTTATATTTATTATAGATAGATATATGTTTATGATGTATAAGATGGTAATGTTAGATATTATTTTAATGGATGCTTTGATGAATGAGTGTTTGATATGGTATCATGCTATAAGAATACTATTGGCTATTACGTTGTGAAAAATTTAAAAATATAAGAATACCTATTTAATAGTTTGAATTTTAAAATAACAACAAACTTTGAATCGTATGTGAATGTGTCATACTTAATTATTTTATCTTCTATTTTATTAATTTTGCCAGATTAAGTAAAAAAAAAATCTTTACTGGGATTCGAACCCCATGATCTTCACATTTATGAGCGACGCTCTTGCCAATTAGGCCACCAACGCTTTTAAAAAATCGTGAATTTTTAAAATATATTTTAAATTGTGACACAGTGATATTGTGACTGTGACACGGCTTTTATATATATTATTATTATAGATTATAGATAGATATTATTAGATGTTATTTTTTTTATTACATAATTTATAAGTTTAAGTAAAAAACATTAAAATAATACATAAAGAGCCAAATCAACCAATATAATAATTTTTATACATTGGACAGGCAAGTTAAACAAAATTTTTAAATAAATGAGCAGGCAAGTTAAACAAAATTTTTAAATAAATGAGCAGGCAGGTGCACCAAAACTTGCCCATTGCAGACCTCTAATCAGGATGACATCGGAAACAGCAGATCATAATGGATTTTACCTTTGCCAAAGAATCCATTTATAAATGATATGCATCTGCCACTATTTTCCCATGCATTTACCACCAGAGGTCTGCAAATGACAACATTTTTTGGTCCAATGGGAATTTAGTTAACATCTTGTAGGATTGAACTACCAAGTTGGATTAAGGAAAAAAAATCATTGGCGAGATTTGAACCTAAGTCCATCAGATTTGTAATGGACGCTCTTACCGATTAGGCCATACACTTTCAAAATTCACGACCATGAAATGGTTTTTCAGAAAAAAATCATAGCATTAAAAAATATTAGTGTCACAATTTATAATATATATCATAGATATTTCAGTTAGTTCTAGTATATATATGATGTTGTATAAGATGGTAATAGTTTTATGGTAATGGAAGATGAATGAATGTTTGATAAGATATGATTCTATGGTGATTTTTATTGGATGAATATTTTTTAAAAGAATATTAAAAGTATAAGAATACCTATTTAATAGTTTGATTTTTAAAGTAGCTACAAACTTTGAATCATATCTTTTTGATTAATTTTGCCAGATTAAGAAAGAAAAAAATATTTTGCCAGATTGAGAAAAAAAAATCTTTGCTGGGATTCGAATTGAAGTCCATTAGATTTGTAAGCAACGCTCTTGCCGATTGGCAAGTCACTTATCAAAATTAACGATTTTTTAAATATATATATTATAAATAATTGTCACAGTGTGACAAGGCTTTTATATATATTATAGATATATAGTTTTTTGATGAGGGATTTCGCTTTATTCGTTAGTATCATAGATTAGAGCCCAGCAGTATAACTAATTTTTTAAGTCCGGCGTCCCCTCCGATGAATTTTTTTTGTCTAGTCTGTTCTTATCCAAAAACATGTTAGAGTGGGGAATAGAATAAATATGAATTTTATAAGGATAGCAAAATTATAAGAGTTTGGAGATAAGATAGATAAGGGTGGATCACAAAATCTATTTTAAGAGGATTTATTTAATAACAGAACATTAACACTTTTTATTATCTATAATTATACAAATAAAATAATTTACCTTACATTATATAAAGTTTTTTATAATTCGAGATTATTAGAGCTAAGTGTTTTTTTCCCGCTCATATCCATTTGGGATCAAAGCGAAGAAATTGTTTAGAAATATTGAGTAGGGGAGACCAGGGCTAGTCGGCGCAATTTTTGTCAAAATCATCATAGCTCCGAAAATAATGACCACATAAGAACTTACAAAATACAAATAGATACCTTAAACATCTACCTCTAAATATATACTGTTATATTTTTTAAATATTTAATAATTATTTTTCTAGAAAGGTTTAGTAAAAGTCATTTTTTGAACCTAGTAGCCTCGAACCCATGGTTAGTCGGATCATCGATGGGGCTAGTCGAATCAAGTGGTTTATTAGGCTTCATATGGGACAAAAAAAAATTTTCCCAGATTTTAATATATAACTATGATACTTTATTTATATAATATTCTATTTACAATTATAACAAATAAAATAACAATTTTTTTTGACAGAGAACCACTCTACATTGAAACCAATCTTCAAAATTATGAAAACTTTTATAATCCTATACACACATCTTTTATTAATGTTTATATTTATTACTAATAAATTTACTCAAAATTTATCTAATTCTATATTTAAATATATAACATAATTTGATTTTATTATCAGGCTAAATATAATCTGATAACTAAAATGTTCATGTCCAATAAAATGAATTAATTTGAATCATATTATATTGTCAATTAAAATAGATATATATATAAATATTTATTTGTTAGATATAATATAATTCATTTTAAATAGATATTATTATCAGGCTAAAATGTTTATATCTAATTAATTTGAATCATATTATATTGTCAATTAAAGTATATATTATATTTATTTGCTAGATATTAATTTAAATAATTTACCTTATTATTAGGCTAAAATTTATATATGCAATATATATAATATCTGTGACAATATATTATACATTATCACAATATGTATATGAAGATTTTAGTTTGCAAGATATTTATTTAGGTCTGATATTATATTAAAATTGAAATGTATTATGAAAAGTCAATCACATTAATAAATTTATATAATAATTATTATTTAATATATTACATTTATAAAATATTATATTTTAACCTGTAATAAATGGTATTTTTCTTAATGAGATATCATTTTCATACAGTTTTTTAGTATCTTCATAATCTTTTTTTAGTAAAAATTTTACTATTTTGAATTTTGCACATATATATTTGGGTACCATAATAATATAATAAAAATTGACTGATTGCTCCGACTAGCCACGATTCTACTAACCTCAATGGTGGTAATATTACTAATTTGATCTTAACATATATTTAAACATTATATATCAATCTGAAACTTTCCCGAATATTAAAATAGATATTTAACTTTCATATAATGTTCATTTTGTCATGTTTAAACTTTTAATTTTTTAATACAACCTAATAATATTAAGTGAAAATATTGTAATTTTTACATCAAAAACATGTCATAACGGATAAAAATTTAAATAGCCAAATATTATAAATTATTTTCATCCCCAATTATGAATATTATTGAATTCTATTTTAGAACTAAATTTCAAATTTTAATCTTTACTAGTTATAAAATAAAATCCTTTGAACCGACAAGCCCCTTGCCCCGACTAGCCCTGGACTCCCCTAGTTCCTATTTATTAAAGAGTTCAAGCTAAATATTCATATTTTTTTATATTGATTAGGGTACTTATGCCACAGTTTATAGGGGTCGATCCAGGCTAACTGATAGCTTCGTGGCCCTCAAGGAAATAAGACTGGAGTACGAGGAAGGTGCTCCTTGTACAGCCATAAGAGAAGGTTATTTAATTTCTTTATGTAAATTTAAATAATTTTCTTATATAACATTTTTTGGTGTTAAAGGAGGGGATTAAAGATCTTATAATATTTTTTGCTTCCTATAATACATTTAATAATATATGTTTTTCCTAGAACGCAAATTCCATTTCAATTAATCTGTTGGCATTTTTTTCAACCAAAATACTTTTTTTTTGTCGAAATAAAATTGGACAAGCTTTAAAATTAAGTAGAAAATTTTTCCCCGGGGGTTTTTATTTCCATTTCTTATTAAATGACAGTATATTATTTAAAAAATTGCATAGCACTTTTTAATTTATTTATTTATCTTGATAAGTTTCCCTGCTAAAAAATCTTAAGCACGCGAATATAGTGACTCTACACGATATAGTCCACACCAAGACATCACTCACCTTAGTCTTCGAATATTTGGTAATCAATATTATTTTTAATAAGATATGCAAGTATGCACTATTTTGACCCGCTTTTCTTGCGGGATCCGAAATTTGAAGACGGTCGATGACCGAGAACCACTAATATTATGATATTTATGGGCCTCGGAATTAAAGCTAAACTAAGGAATTTATATATGTACAAATATATATGTTAATTTTCTATATCTAAAATATTATTAATATAAAAATAATAAGGAACGCGATTTGAAACAATACATGGAAGATTGTGATAACATACTACATTTCCATAACGTCAAAGTATGGCATCGCATATATATATATATATAATAAAAATTATAATTAGAAAATCGTGGTAAGGGACAGGAATTTAGAACAAGGGCATTATAGCTCTTATAATTTAGGTCAGCTATTACCCCTTAAAAAACACTTAGCAAGTAGCGAGTATTTTAGATGTGCTTAGGCATGCTTTTCCCTCTCCATGGTGACATTACTGATCTAAAATATATTTAACCGTTCGTTTGAATATTATTAGATTGGAATATTATCATATGTCTTAATTGTGCTTAATTTATTTTTTTATTATAATAAATAATTATAGAACCATAAACATTAAAGCTTATAATATTTGGTATAACGATTAACTTTTTTATAATATATTTTTTTTAATTAACATTTATTTATCAAAGTTATTTTTGTTCCAATTATTCCGTGGTCTGGAATTTTGTCACAGGAAACAAATATTGCATAGAGATCTCAAACCACAAAATTTGCTCATCAACAAAGTCGGTGAATTAAAATTGGCTGATTTTGGTAATAAAAAAAAAAATTTTTGAAAAATCAATGTCACTTTTATTAACCTTAGCTCAGTCTAATAATTTGTATCCATTTTTCTCTTTTCCTCATGTTATAAATGTCTATCTATCTTATTGGTAAAAAGAGAATTTAGAGTGGTCAAAGATTATAGGAGAATGGGGATTGGGGATAGAGTATAAAATAAGATTTAATATTGCTAAGCAGATAAAGAGCAAAGTTAGAGTTAAAATGAGCCAGAATTCGGATATAGATCTAAGTAGGCCTGTTTTAAAAACCAATCAATTAGTAATGAATACGAATGAATAATTATTCAATAGTTAGTTTTTATATTAATTTGAATAAATTAACTTATATATTAATTTTATAAAATCATAGAGTACATGTTTTTATAGTTTTCTTACACTATATTGATAAGTTTTCATTACATTAAAGTCCTTTTTAGAATAATATAACAAATTAATCTAAAATTCAGCATTTTGAACTAGAGATCCACAAGGCCTGGCCCACTCTATCACAATTTCGACAGAAAGTTGATATAGAACCCTATAAAAATCGAGTAGTCGTTTAAATAAATCTTTTCCCATTTTATTATAACAGGTTTAGCTCGAGCAAAATCAGTTCCCACGAAAACCTTTTCCAATGAAGTTGTAACTTTATGGTATAGGCCCCCTGAAGTCTTATTAGGCTCGACTGAATATTCGACACCCATCGATATGTGGTATAAATTGCATTTTATTTGATAAATTTATTTTTAATTATCTTCTCCTTAGTAGTAATGTTTTTTAAAAACCTTGATTTAGTTTATTATTTAATAACCGCTAAACCACAATTTTAGCCAAATAATATTGAGAATAATCAAGCAGGATTTTGATTAAATTTTACCTAAAATTCTAAATGTTTTTTGTAAAAAATTCTTTTATAAGTAAATCCTTTGTGATTTTTGTGCATAAAGAATCTTTAATTTTGTGATCTTCAAAGATTTTTTGTTCAAAAGTTTATAGCCACGTTTATGAGTTTATCTCTATTTGACTGAATTTTTTAAATTACTTTGACACTAATCGTCTATTTTAAGATACCCTAAATTTTACGATACTAAATCTTTTAAAATAATATACAATAGGGGAGTTGGTTGTATATTCTATGAAATGGCATGCGGTAAACCTCTCTTCCCCGGTTCCACTGTCGAAGACCAACTCAAAGTCATATGGCAAACACTGGGTCCTCCCGCTAACAATACTTATGACAAAAATAATATTTTATGTCATAAAACCAATCAAAATCATCACATCTACAATAAAAATATAGGCGAGAACCTATACTTTGATAATCTTAGATTGTTGGCTCCCCGGCTAGACAAATCGGGTATAGACCTGCTCTCTCGTTTACTAGAATATGACCCAAAGCTGAGGATATCAGCTAAGATAGCTCTTAGGCACGAGTTCTTTAAATCCTTACCAGAAAGGGTTCATCACTTACCCGATAGTGAGAGAAATATTTTTATAAAATCATATTAAGAACATTTTATTCTTAATTAAAATATGACATGATTCAATTTTTATTAAATAAAAAACCATATATTTAGGATTTTTGTAAATATGATTTTTTAATATATAGATTAATATAATATTAATTAGGGATGACCATATTTTTTATCTGATCGGACCGATTTTTTGTGGGTCTAGGCACGTTTTAGGCATTTTTATTGAAGAAACTGCGGCTCAAATAATAAAAAAAATCTGAAAACAAAATACTAAGTAATTATTACAAACTATAAATAAATATTGTGCGTAAAAAAACGCTAACTACAACATCTCCACATCGATTCCCAAGCTGCTCAATGGGAAGGGGACCACTGCTCACTAATGCTGAAACAGGTTATCCAGCTCTTGGGAATTCAGGTCAGCCGGAGCCTCAACCCCTTGTGCGGAGGAGCTTCCAACGGCCATCCATTTCTCTCAAATGCCCTTCTTCACAGCGAAAACGCACCACCCCGTTCCCGCACCAGTCCTATAATCTTTTTTCTGCTCATGTCTACCATCTCCACATTCCTAGCTCGAGGCGGGCGCGTATCCATACCCTGTGCGAGCAACCTAAACTCACTAGCAAGGGGCTTCATATCACTGCTGATGATATCGTGGTCCTCACCCAATGCGTACCTAAGTCTACATATCTTTAAACCATAACCCGTGCATTCCCTGATTTACTCTACAGACAAGCCATCTGTTTCTTTCCTTCTCACTAACAGCAATTTTTCTTTATTTCCCTAAACTACCTTACAAATTTTTCAAAATTATTTTTCTCTGTGCTTTCTGTGAAGGAGAAAGGCATTTCAAAAGGGATTGTTTGCAGGTGTGGCAGCCTAGAAGACGGTTAGCGGTGGGGGGAATGGATAGCTGGATTGGGCCGCAAATGTCGGGGTATCATTGGGAGCACAGCCGCATTGACTACAAGAGACCAAGGCTCAGGCTCGTCAGGTCTTCAGACAAGGAGTGTAGGGTGGATGCCTGCAAGCTGGATGAGCTGTATCAGCATAGTGCCCCTCTCCATCGAGCCGCCTAGGATTCGGAAGGGTGGAGTTGCTATAGTCAGCTTTTTTTGGTACAATTGCGTAGTTATTTTGTTTTCAGATTTTAAATTGGCTTAATTTTGAGACTCATTGTGATTCACGCTTTCTTCGATGTGAAGATTATTTTGTTATTTTTATTTATATTACAGGATTTCGATTATTTATGATAATTGTATTGACTTTGTCATGTATAAAAGGTCAAGAAATTTAGCTTTAAAAATTATTATAATTTATTTTTGCCTAAACAAAAAAAACCTCAAAAGTGTTTTTGACCTCTTAAGAAAAAGAAGTAAATAAGGGAGAAGAAAATAATTTGAAATTTCTTTAAAAAGGATCAAAGATTAAATTAACTTTACTTAACAATTTCTTCCAGATACACAGTTAGCAATAGTTTAGACGTTATTGAAAACCAGATTTACCATGATTATTTATAAATAGTGCTTAGATTCTTTTCCATCAATCAATACACATAATAAAGTATATATATTTGTTTTAAGCCACGTCCATATTTACGGTTCCCAACATTAAGCTTATGAAGGATCCTGGATTTAGGCCAATCAACGGTATATTGAATTGAATTTATTATTTTATAGGTATATAAGTCCTATAAGGACCTCTTTTCTTTGACCAGTATAGATTAAATCTATGCGCCTAAGTCAATCGATGGCGACGTTCATCGGCGCGTCTTATTAGCCGCCGCCTAATGAATTGGCGACAGTGTTTTAAAAAATAAATTATATTTATTATTCATTGTATTACATTTTTTATAATTTATTTGCTCACTCTTAGTTCCAAGATTGTTAATATAGTTTAGTTTTCAACTCATTTTCTGTCCCACTCTTAAATAAATTTAAGTACTTCTCATTTTTCAAAATAGACTAAGGAATTGACTTTTTACTTAGGGTCGCGCATAAATTCTTTAATATTCTATCGATTTTTATATAAACAAATTTATATATAAATTGGAATGCAAACAAACATAAAGTAAGATATATACGTAAATTAGAAATCAAATTTAGTTATAATTGCCGTGGTGATTGGTGGGGCATAAGTTCTTTTAGCTTTGAGTATTAATCCAGCGATGGAAAAATTATTTTGGTGTACTGGTTACAGATATACAAAGTATTTTCTTAGCCTAATTAGATATTCTAGAAATTTCCAGAAAATTAATGCATCCTGTTATGGTATAATATGTTGGCCGAGGAAAATATGAAATTCTTGCTCTAGATTTTTATATTCTATCGATTTTATATAAACAAATTTATATATAAATTGGATTGCAAATAAAAATAAAGTAAGATAATTACGTAAATTAGAAATCAAATTTAGTTAAATTATAATTGTCGTGGTGATTGGTGGGGCATAAAGAAGTTCTTTTAGCATTGAGTATTAATTTAGCGATAGAAAAATCATTTCGCTAGGTGTACTGGTTGCAGGTATACAAAGTATTTTCTTAGCTAAATTAGATAGTCTATGAATTTCCATAATGTTAATGCATCCTGTTGTGGTATAATATGTTGGTCGAGGAAAATATGAAATTCTTGTTCTAGATTGTTAGTGGTATTATAATCGTTGCTTGGATTTGTTTGCTATTTTAGCTATACATCCCTGGGTATTGATACAAACTTCGAAAGATTAAAAAATCTATGATTAGAATAGTGTAATAAATGATGCCTCGGGTAACCATGTAAACTATTTCCACAAACCTCTAAAAAAATTTCTTATTTAACCCGGGCTTTATTCCAGCGCTACCTCTGATATCCTAGTTATTACCTGCCGATACATCGTACAAACCTCTTATGTATAATATAATTTATATACTTTTGATTAAATTTATTTTATAGCTAAACAAAGACGCCAAAGTTTGTTATGAATTTCAGGTTGATTATAAAGTCAAGTTCGGGCCTTAATGAACGTGGAAAAAATATATTCTAAATATGCATTTAAACACAAAATAGTTCATTACAAATAATATGTATTATCACGCAATCTTTATTAATAGAAAATTTTACATTTTTTACCAATCAATTATAATATAATTATTAGGGTTATTTTTTTTTACGAATTATCACCTAGACCCTCCGCAATTAGTCTCCCCCTAAACCTTAATACTACATCTATTAGTAATGTTTTCCCGTTATTATTTAATATAAAAATATACATAATTATTAGACAATTTTTTTAAAATTATTTCATATAATTACATACAATAATAATAGTTATTATATTTTTTATTTATTTAATCATTAATTTTAAAGATTTCATTACACGATCTTTACACAATTATTTATTTGGTGAGCAACTATAATACGCGATGGTAAGCTTGTTTTATGTGATTTATTTATTAATATTAAATAGAATTTCGCCAATTTATTATAACTGAATTTTGAATACCCGAGGAATCCCCCTTGATTTTATACAAATGAATCTCAATGTAATCGATTTTTTAATGGTTAAATTTTAAAATATAATTATTTATTTTATTTTTATCATAACCAAAAATAAAACAATTTTGTCACAAGCAGTATGCGATATTATAAATAAAAATATATTATTCTATATTTTTTTAGTCGAATTATATTGTAAATATATAATTTTTTACTACTGTTATTAAGGTTAGTAAATAATAGTAACTATCGAGTAAAGTTTATTTTTTATTAAAAATTATGTTATTCTGTATCCTAACTGGGACGATTAAGCATATAGGTTTCATATTAAATTTCAAATCACTAGTTTGAATAAACTTTGCAAATCTCAATACGCTCTCATATGGTTATACCTTTTATGTTTATGATTATAAATAATCTATCTACATCTATCAGCAAAAATGCTAGATTTGTGTTTTATAAAAATGTTTTAAACTTATTTGGTTAAAATTGTAAACGAATAAAGATAAATGATTACCGATTTGAAAGACCTGCTTTGTTGTAAGCATAAAGAATGTGCTGAGACCTTGACACTTATCCTAAGAAATGATAAATTAAAATGAAAAACAATTAAACTAAAGTAATAATATAGAATAATACATTAATCCGAATGTATTTTATTCAATATTTATATAAAAATAAACATTTCATAATCTTTTATAAAAGCCATACATAATATAAACCTATTCCTTATATTCCTTTTTTTAATATAATTTAAATTACATTTTTTTATAATAAGGCTTGTAGTTCTGATGGGTTAGCATCTTGTTTGCTGTCCTAAAGTTCTTGGTTCAAATCTCAATGTGTCTTCTAACATCTTTTACCATTTAAGAGTGTATGTAACTAGCAGTGATCTGCATCGGGTCTAATTTTTCCAGGTACGAGAACCCTCATTCTAAAAAAATGAGTTTAGGTTTGGGTTCAGTGAAAAATCAGGGTTCGGAGACCAGAAAAATAATGACTTATTAAAATCGTTAAAATAACAGAAACATCATTTTTTTTAAATTTATTATAATTAGTATCGCCATAAAAATAATTTATCATAATTATAATATATTATCTAATATGATCGCCTTAATCAAGAAATGAACGTTTTCTTATAACCTTAATGTTAATTTTTATTTTTGGTATCAACTTTCTTATCATCTTAATATTAAATAACGGAAGGAGACCATATACCTCTAATGTGAAATTTTTTTTTAAAATAAAGAAAACTTTATTTAAAATTTTTTCATGCATCAACGAGATTCGAACCACTTACTTAACGTTCGATCAACAAACGTTCTTTCCAGTCACCCCCCTTCTATATTAAATTTTGTAATACAATTCTTATATATAAAACTATTATGATAAAGTAATTTAATTATAACAATATTTATTTTTTTTATTGGAAGCTCCAGGCTTGGGAAAACAATTTCAAAATTATTATCGATTGGCCAGGTTTGATAAAAAAAATTTTAAATTATAATGGGTAGGGCTGGGCTTGGAAAATATTTTTTTATTGGAAACTGAAAAAAAATTCAAAATTATTATCGGTTGGCCAGGTTTGAAAAATATTTTTTCAAATTATTGGGTCCGGCTGGGCTTGAGAAATATTTTTATAAATTATATTGGGCTACGCTTGGGGAAAATTTTTCAAATTATTATCAGCTTGGACACTTGGGAATTTTTTTATTATTAACTATGAATCAGACATTGACGTAAAATAAATAAACTAAGGCCCATAAAATCTGATTTTGATTGTATTTTTAAATTCATTATGATTTTTTAAAATATTTTACTCCAGTTCTCAACTACCAAATATATTAAATAATAGGCATAGGTGATCAGTTATATTTTAACAAATAATATTGATATGGGTATCAAGTAAAAGCTTTAAATATATTTTGACTCAAAACATAGCATTTAAACTCAGTTTTAATAGATTGGACCTGACCTGAAGGTGGGAAGGGGTTATAAAGAATAAAAATTGGATATTATTTCCAAATAACAGGTAAAAACTATCATAAGAGTAAGGAGAAAATTCTCATTCCCCGTCATTTTTGACTGACTCAGCAATGCTGACTAACGGGAGCTCTGGTACTCTTAGTTATGTATTTTTTATTTTGCCCTTCAAGAAAGACGGGTCATCATACTTTTCTTTCTTATTCGATGGAGTTATTAATCTAGAGATTACAAAAAATACAGTGATATTGCTAGCTGTTTCAACTTAACGAGTGTTAACTTTTTAAAATTCTCCACATTTAGGAAAAAAGGTAATCTTATCCAAAATGAGAAGAAAAAAAAGTTAATTATACAATTAATTTGTTTAAAATATATAAATCCATATCCAAATGGCACTTAAGTCTTTTTGTGACCCCTGTTAAAGACTGATTTAAACAATCCATCAAATGCATTAAAATTTCCTCCAAAATTTTTACCCTAGATGAAAGAAATTTATGTCCTCCATAATAAGTTTATTATTAGAGGTCCCACAATAAAAGAACCAACGAAAATTAATTTTTAATTTACTCATTAAATATTTTTAATTTTATTTTTTTATATTTCATCTTTATTATAATTTACAAGGATACCATTTGCCCATCCTGGATTTCTTTTAAAATAATTTTCCACCCGTGTTTTATATTTTCAGGACAGGCCCGGTCCGGATTTTTTAAATATATTACATTTATTCTTGATTTTTATAGCTAATAATGGCGATTTAAAAAAAAACATACGGTGGCCCGGCCAGGGTATTTTTTTTAATTTTAGGCCCTGCCTGTGTATTATAAAAAAAAATTTAGGCTCCTCCCGGCCCGTGTATAACTAAAAAATTAAAATACAGCCCGGTCCATGTACTCGGGCCGGGCCTACAGGTCTCTGATAATTTACAATGTTTCATTATTGTAGGGTCACATTTTAATGTTCTATATCCACTTTTTGGCAAAGTGAATTTTTTTATTCAATAAATCTATTCTTTAATGTTATATTGATCTATATCTACAATAAAATATATGACGTTGTATTTACATGCAGCTCTGAAATTTTATATACCAAGCAAGGAAAAAGATTCAATAGATGCTGAGAATCATTTGCAGACTATTATTAAGCCACAATTTTTAATATATATTCAATGTGTTTATTTTTTATTTAATTATACATATGATTTTAGCAAAATGCTACTAAAAATTGATTTGGATTTAAGGGAGGTTATAAATAGAGCAAAGGATAATTTGAAATATTAATAAATACCAGAGAATGCGGATGAAAAATTTCATAAAATATATGAGAAAGTAAAGGAGATTGCTAATATGTTTGGGATTGAAATTTTTAAACCTAGAGTAGTTTCTAGACAATCCAATCTCTCAAATATTAATGCTTCTACGATTGGGGATTTTTATAAAATAAACATTTTTATTCCTCCTATTGATACATTTTTATTTCAATTAAAGGAAAGATTTATTAGTCAATCTTAAAAAGATTTTATTTTCCTTTGCCGGTTGAGTCTAAACTGTCGATTATACTTGAAACGAGAGAATATTAAGAAAATCTCAGCTTTTTAAGCTGATGATTCAGTAGGCTCATATGATAAATTAATTTGTGATGTCGGAATTTGGTATAAAAATCTTGACAGAATAGAGTATTCTTTGAGACCAAAAAATGCTCTGCAGGCCCCTTCCATGTGTAATTGCACTTTAGATTCCTTGCCTAATATTTAAATATTAATTATTTTAGCTAACTTATCAATTAGTTCTTGTACTATTAAAAGGTCTTTTTTCAACTTTAAAAAGGTTAAAATAAGAAATATCACCGGTGAAAAACATTTATGAATTAGCTGTATTAAATATTTATAAGAAGATTATTCTAGATAAAATTCTAGATGAATTAGCGAAATCTCAGAGAAAAGTAGACCTCTCTTTGTAAATTCAAATCAAAAAATTGAAATATGATTATATTAGTTTCAGTATATAATATTTATAATCATGTATTAACTAATAAAATTTATGTAATTAATACTATTTTTAATCAAAGTTGTGTATTATTTATATTTTGATAATATCGTCATATTTTTTTAAATATTATTATTTGCATGAATTACTTATATTTTATATAATTGTTAAATTTTTTTTTAAATATAATTTTTATACAATAAAATTTTTACTATTATAATCTGTATAAAATATGTACATTTTGAAATTTATTTTAAATAATAAAAATAAATACATGATTAAATAAAGGAATGTTATTTATGTTAAAATATTTTTAAATAATAAATGAAATCTATAAAGAAAACTCTAAAATTTTGTTATATGCAAATATTTATAATAATTTTAACATAGCCTAGATATAAGCAATAGAGTGTTCATAAAAATGAGAGGTTTGGGGGAGCGAAGCCCTCCAAAAATTTTTTTAATCCCCCAACCCCCCACCCCTTCCATGAGAAAATCCTGGCACGCCACTGATTAACAATATTATATTACAGATTCTGTTATCCCGCAAAAAAATTGCTTTATTTATTATAATTTTCCATATCTAACAAAACCTCTCGAATTATATAAATATAGTAATGTGATTTCTAAACTGTAGCTATTTAAAAAAAGTCTTTATATTTTTTAAATTAATTTTTGGTGTTTAAAAAATAAATTTATACGTCTTTATTTGTTGAAAAAATAGACCTTATATTTTTTAAAATGGTCTTATGAACAATTGAATAAAATGGCTAAGAAACATTAAAATATTACTGATGATATGCAAAAAATAAAAATATTCTTAATTTGATTATTTTTCTAACTTCCTTATGTGCATTATATTATTTTAATATTCTAAGATGCGTATCCAGCAGTTGCTAGTTTGATATTGTTATACTCTATCCAGAATACTCAAAAATAAATGGTTTAAAAGTATTGGAGAAATGGGTATAATTTTTTCCTAATAAAAAATAAATTCCCACGCTTGGAAAAAATATACCAGCATGTATTCTTTATTATCTATGAAACATCATAATACAAAACCTTACCTACTTTGCCCCCCCCCCCTTAATAAATTTTTTTTAATTTTTTTAAAAATAGGGAGGCGCAAATTATTTATAAAATATTTTTAAAGAATTATGTAAGATTTCCATGAATCGTAAAGTACCTATATTCAAATAAGTTATATTCTAATTTAATTTAAATAGCCTACTTTGAGTATCCTTAAAGAAATATCTGAATGTCCTGAATCAGATTAATTATCTGAAACACTTTTTTTGTGTATTAACATATAAATATAAATAATTAGGTTACACAACTATCTTATAAAATATTTTTCAAGTAAATGATATTGATTTGTAGAAATCATAAGAACCGCGGATATTATTATGGCAACATAGAAAAGTAAGAAATAATATTGATGAAATATTTCATGATATATATATGCGATTGTTGAAGCGAAACCAAAATTATGTGGCTATTAGATTTCGCAAACCTCTATTAGCATCATGGTATAAACTGGGAACCAGCTTATACATTACAGAAAATAGTCTCCTACCCTCGTAAAAAAAAATTCGTGCCATTCTCCCGCGATATTTCTCTACCCATTTACTATAAGAACCTCATAATATCAATTTTAATAAATCTTATAATGAACAACGATATAACCACCCAAGAAAATTCTAATTAAAACTCTTCTTATGATTTAGACAAGGAAAAACAAATAAATATGTTTATTATGATCCTCTAATTGCTACTAACATATTTTAAAAGTTAGCCACGAGGGTTTATAAATTTAAACTACGAAAATATTATCTGAGAGTGAATGATTACACTAAATCAAAAAAATTTTATTAATAAATTAGTATTTTTTTTTATTATATATTTTTTTAATTTGTAAATAGTTGCCCCATCAGATGCCTACCCCCTATTCCCCTTAAAAAACGGAGGCATATGGCTTTTATCCCTCTATCTCATATAGATACTGCGCGGAGCACAAACTACAAGCAAAATTCCCTATCACTAACTGAAAAAATCACGAATATGAACCCAAGCAGCGTCTACATGAGCGGGAGGGGTAGGAAAAGTTTGCATCCTATTTTTTGAGAGGGGGGTAGAGGTAGGCGGCTTTAATGGGGGTAGGATAAATTTCTTGGGGCATTATCTATTGAATTTTGAGATGAAATAGTACAAAATTTATTGCTGTAAAAATTAATACTTTTATTATAGAACTATTATAATACAATTCATATATTAAATCTATATATTGCAAACAATTATACATATTGTTTTCCAAATAAAACTTTCTGCTATCCTTTTAAATTACATTTAAAAGGTTTAGATATTTCAGCAAGCTCATAAAATTATAATAATAAATTCATTGTAAATAATGGAGGATTTAATTGAAATCATTATCTAAAAAATAAATCCTTTAGATAATTTTTTAGGGGGGTAGGCAAAGGTTTTTGAAGGGTGTTTGCATCCAGTGAAAATCCTGTCATGTAGACGCTGAACCCAAGCATGGAACCCTGAAGTTAAGAATAATTTTTATCCTTCCATTTTTACAAATAAATGGTATTAAAAATCTATAAAAACTTACCCAATTTTTAAAAACCAATTTAAAATAATATTTTTCCCAAAGTTTTCTAAAATCCAGCAAATTATGTAATTGCATAATTGTACCATTTTTAGACGTTTTAACTGTACATATTAATAAAATTAATTTATTCCTTATTTTATCTCCAAAAATCTAAAATTTATTTGCTTACACTTTTTATACCTTAAGTACTAGTGGATATTATAAAATTTTATTTTTTATCTCTACTAATAATAATTATTATAAAATCTTTAGAGTGTATAAAATGTTCAGGTATCCAAATAAACAGAATTTGCTACATACAATTATTTCTGAGATTTGTGCTATAAGCGACAAGATGGAACCCTGCCATAAAGCTGTTACAGGATATTTTGAATCTCGAGGTGCTTATTTATATGCCCTTGGAGAGATATTAGAATCACCTGAAACAGATATTTCATCTGAAACTGATACTTTATTATTATTATGTCTGCCGATTTTTTTTCATTGGAATGTATTAATAAATTATTTATTACACAACAATTAATGTAATATTTTTCCGTAAAATGGATTTGGATGAAGAAATGAGAATATTATTATTATATTACAACTTAGAAAACCAAGAGATAATATCGACCATAAATTTCTCGAGATTTATGTGATTATTGAGGTGAAGGCGAAATTATAAGTTTTTGAGATTACACTCGACATAACAAATTATTGTTTGTATTAATATGGATGCAATTAAGGATTTTCACTTTTGGATTTAATTTTGACTCAAATCAATGAACGATTTGTGATTTATCTTTACCTCTATCTTTTACTTCCTCTGATCTGAGAATATATCAAATCTTGATACTGAAAAATTAAATATCTAGCTAAATTTTATTCATAGGATATATATGTATCTGAATGCCAATTATATCCAGAATTTAAATGGAAAGAAAGATTAATTTTAGTATATAATCCTCCAAGATACACGAAGCATTACATACTTTAAAATATTTTTTATGAGTTTTTGCAAATGTATTTGAATTTCTGTATATTTTGGATAATGATACCAATTATTACAAGCACAAATAAGAGGGTCTTTTCTTCATTATAAACGTATCTCAAAGATATGATATCTTAAAATCCGATTAAATAGACTAAACACAGAACATATTATTAAAAAATTGGCGCAATTGCAAAGAAGATTAAATTTTCATTTGTAAACGATATTTTGATTAACTTTTTAAATCATTGTAAAATGTTTAATTTATATTTTATTATGTTTTACATACTGGTTTATATAGCGATTATATTTTTTAACTTGTTATATTCTCTCAATATTTTATTTTTCTGAAATAATATTTGTGTTCGAAATAACCATATTTCCAAATATGATTGATTCTAATAAATTTTATTTGATGATTAGTTCTTATAAATTTATACAATGAATAGTTCTAATAAATTTGTGATGCCTCAGAAAAATTACCCCCCCCCCCCTCATAGAAAATTTCTGACTATGCGCCTGATCGCCTTATCTGATTTGATATTTTTAAAATATAATTCAATATAACCTAATTCGCATGATGGGTGGATTAATTATAAATGATATCTTTTCAATAAAATAAATACTTTACTTATTTATTTATAAAATTTATTTATAATTGTCGATAATATTTATTAGTTTTTTAAAATTGTCATTTTGCTTAAGATTTTGTTTAATTTTAATTTTAGTTACCTTTTTTTATTCACTTCTTTAGAAATTTATTTTCTGTCAATCATTTTAGAAATTTCCTAAACAATATATAATGTTTTTGTCATATTTCTACCCGACATGTAATATGTAAATATTTTAAAAAGAGGAAATTTATTTGTTTTAATATTAAATATAATATTTGAGAAAAAAATATTTTATAATATATATAAATCAAGTTTTAAAAACTTCCATTGCAATTGGTTAAAAACTAAATCTACCATCTGCCTTAATTTTAATAAAAGAATTTAAAATATATGAGAAAAGGGCAATATATAAAATTTAGTGAAAAGAATAAGGATTCAAACGATATGGCGCGAGATGCGAGTCAGTAAAAATATTATTTTATTAACTAACTTCATTCTCTTTTCTTAAGGTATATATATATTTTCTATAAATATAAATTAGAATATATATAAAAACAAAAAGTAAGGTTACGAAAAATAATAAGTAATATAAGTTGAATTACAAAAATAAAAAGTTGAATTGAAAAGATAAATTTGAATTCATAAAAAGTAATACAAGTTGAATTTGAATTCCTAACCAAATAAATATATAATGAATGTATGCAATATAATTTAAAATATATTACTATTCAATAACAAATATTTTAATTTATTAATTCCTATAATAAACATTTAGAAAAAAATCGGATATTTAAAATGATATTCTGTTATCCTTCATATTATTGTGAAGCACTAATAAATTTCATTAAGCGATTTAATCTATATCAAAGATCTGCAGAGGTTAAAATACCTGCTTTTATATCCCAGAAGAAAAAAAAATACAAATTAAGAGTTTTAAGGCAATTATTAAATATTTAATAAAAGCCAAGGATTGCTACTAAACAAAATTGAAATTCTTAAATATGATTGTGGTATCACTTTGGGGAAATAACAGTCTGACTAATTTTTTGCTTAGGTCTTTAAAATTTTAAATCAAGATCACATGATATTTTCCCATTTTGTTTCGGCTTTTGATAAATTTTATTTTTAAACGTAGCAATGAAATATAAAACAAAACAATGTAGTTAGAGCTAGCTTTATGTATAGAAATATGATATATATAAATGGGATTCCTCTCTCATTAAATAAAACTATCAGACCAAAAAAATTTTTAATATATTTTATATTACTTTTTTTATTTATATGTCTATTAACATTTTTTTCTTTACCTGAATTAACAACTAAAAAAAGTCCAATATTGTTTATTTCAAATAATTATTCTATACCCGAAGATATTTATGATAACCCAAAGTTCGTACCACCTTTTAAAATTCCAGGAAACATGCCAAAATTTACAAATTCAAATTTATATATTGAATCCTTAGATCTTAAAAAAGGTATACCTATTTATACAATTGCAAAAAAGGAATCCATGCCACAAATTTATATCCGTAATAAATATATATCCGAACAAGATTCCGATTCATCCAGTTCTGACATTATTCACAAAAGGAATAAAGTGAAACAAGTAAAATTTGTGACAATGTTTTTATTATTTTTAAATATATTTATATTCATAGCTTTATACTTTTATATTAGATGATGAAATTTGCATGGGATGGTTATGTTAAATATGCTTTTGGTTATAATGAGCTGAAACCAATATCAAAACAACCACATTTTGGCAGCATTTTTGGAAAGGATAAACTTGGTAAAATAATTAGTATAAAAATTATCTATATTTTTTAATTATATATTAGCATTGTTTTTATCATAATTTTTTAACCCTATATTATAGTTTTTATTGTAGGTTATTTGTTTGTATAGGAGAGTTTAACTTAGAACAGGGTAAATTCATATAAAAAAACAAGATTTTTGCATGACCCTTTTTAGAATGAATAAAATTTCCCATGATTGCTATATAAATTTAAATTTTATTAAAACTGAATCTTTAAAGACTCAGCTAAACCAGATCTAATAATATATTCCAATAAAGATGATCACATTCATTAAATCAAATTTTTTTAAATTAATATTTATGCTAGTCACAAATATCATTATGTAGCTCTTAAAATTCTACTTAAGATATTTTTGAAAAATGATAATTTCTGTTTTTACAGAAATCCCCCAGATTTTTTGTTGAACTTTAAATTTTATTTTATTTTCCACCCCTATTTAATATTATTAAAATACCCTTTATATTTAGGTCTAACTATTATTGACAGTTTAGACACTCTACTCATCATGAATCTTACCAACGAATATAAAACTGGGTATGATTGGGTAATCAATAATCTGTCTTTCAATAAAGTAGTAAGTTTTAATAAATTTTGTAAAAATTAGAGATTTGAATAGGGAGGGGAAAATAAAAGGGAAATTGGCAAATACATCTTAAATAAAACTCCTATATTAAATTTATATATATTCATTAAAATATCCCTGAATACAATCAGAGTTGCATTTCATTGTTCATCTTATCCTATCACAAATTTTATGAATTCTAGAATTATTATATTTATGCCATAATATATATTACCATGTCTTTTTAAACAAATTTTTGCAAAGAAAAGCTCCATATCAATATTCGAGACCAACATTCGATATATAGGGGGTTTATTGACCATTTATTTATTGACCTTTGATAAAGTAAATTCTTTTTATAATTTTTCTTTATACTATTATAAAAATTTAAAAACAACAAAAAGTTAAATTTTAATTTTTTTGCTAAATAAATTTCTTATTATTTTTTAAAAACTGCATTTTTGTTATTTCATGGCACCCCCCCCCCCTCCCCACTTTATAGAAGCTCTTAGATAAGGCTATGGAAATTGCTGATTTGTTGATGCCTGCATTTGAGACTCCTATGGGTCTACCATATTCAACATTAGATATTAATAGGTATATTATTCTCATTCTCACTAGAAAATTTCAAGAATAGACAAGTAAAACATTTACTAGGATTAATTAGATTTTTTTCTTTAAATTAATTAAATTTATCTTAATATTAGCAGACCTAGAATATATTTATGTTATAACCAGGGGTGTCAACCTTGAAATTTTTTGTAAAGTATATTTAAAAAAATTTACTTCAAATATTTTTTTAACAAATGTATATATTTATTTAATACATATTTTGATGCATGATAGTGAAAGATTATTTAGTCGTTCTTCCACAACTGTTGAACAAACCTGAGTTTTGAAATGTCACTTTACTATACACATTCATGGATCTGGATTAGGCGTTTAACCTGGTGCTGTAAGAGATCACAAAGTAAGTCTTGAGAAAGTCAGAGGTAGATGAATGGCTAATACAGTGTTATGATTTAATGAAACATATTAACGATTAATTTAAAACTCATCCATATAAAATTATTTTGTTTGCAAAGATAATTAAAATAACAAAAGGCATAATAAAAGAATTTTCAATAATGCTTTGTCTATATTTTAATTATTTTTGCAAAGAAAATAATTTTATATGGATGGGTTTTAATTTTCGTCAATATGTTTCATTAAATCATCACAACCCTGTATATACCGTGATATTGTTATGTCAAAAGTCGAAAATGGGGATCATTAGGGTTTTGAGATACATCAGGGATACATTATGTAATTTGACAAAATCTTTTAATGATTTTGATATGGCTATCATAGTTTTGCAGTGAATAATATATATTTTTAAGTATATAGACTTCCATAGGGCCATTGAAAATATTATGTATTATATTCTTTTGGTGGCCCTTTTCCATAATTCCAGTAATCCATTTTGCTTGCTAATCTCTTTTCTCCATTTTTCACGTTCATGACATCCTCGCTGATAAAACCTAGATTTTTATTATAATCTACCACCTTTATCCAGCTTCAGAGACCTGCAGAGGTACCATTTGTATGGCCTGGCCCAGATTAAAAAGTTTTCGGCCCGGCCCAGGTTTAAAAATTTTAGGCCCAGCCCGAATATTTAAAAAAAAAATTTTAGGCCCGGCTCGGAATTTTTAAAAATTATATTCGACCTGGTATATTCCAAAAATTTATTATTTCGTATTTTATCATATTTTTCGGTGAGTATTATTATTTAATAAGCAAGTATATTAGCTAATATTGTTAAACGGCTCGTTTTGAGCCAATTTTTAAAACGGCTAACTCAATATTTTCGCCAGAAAAATATTGACTAAGCCTCGAAATTTCGATACTATATGTCTAGACCTTTGCTCCTTCTATGAGCAAAATTTTCAGGCTGGCATAATATTTTTCTGGATAAAACACTGAGTTAGCCGTTTTTAAAAATCGGCTCAAAACAAGCCGTTTAACAACACTAAATATTTTATTTTTTTTATTCTAAACAGATATTTAGTATATTACAAATTGATACTATAAAAAATTTGTGTAAATAAAATTTTGAGAATATACTATGTATTTATAAAAAAAAAAAAAATATAACATATTTATATATTATATAATAATTTATTTAATCCTTTGCGTATTTATTCCATGGCAGGAAAACTATAATTATATTATGTAATAGATACTATGAGTGTTAGCTAGTGTTAACTTTCACCAAACATTATATTAATCATAACTATATATAATCATTATAACCATATCTAATTGACGAATATAATAATTCATGTTGTATAAATTTTTTTTTTAAAATACGGCCCGGCCGGGGTTTTTTTAAAAAAAAATTTTTCAGACCTGGCCTGTGTATATTTTAAAAATTTTAAATACGGCCCGGGCCGGGCTTGCAGGTCTCTGTCCAGCTTCTCTTTGGTCTTTCTTTATCATTTGTTCCCTCCACTTCCAACCAACTTCTATTTATCCAATGGGCCTTTCTCCTCTTTTAAACATATCCAAACCATCTTAGTCTACTTCTTTTCATCTATCGTTTCTACCCCAATCCTTTATCCTTGTCATTACCGTTGAGTCAACGCCTTCATCTGCACTAAGTGTATCTCCTAAATAGCAAAGCTTTATCACTTTTTCCAATGATGTTTCATTTCCGATTTAAACCAATTTTATTAATATCGTTTTGCACCCGTTTCACTTTCACATATTTCCTACAAATAAATGTCGCTCTTGCCATCTTTAGACTTCCCTTCACAACTACACCTATTATGAACTCATTTGACAGCAAGTACAATTGTTGACAACACCTCTCAATACACCATTCCTAATTAATTGTTTTAGCTCTTATAATTTGAATTATATCTAATAATATATATGCTTACGTTTATTATCCTTGTATATGACTGATTCGCTAACAAATCAACGCATTTTATCAATCATGGCCGCCGAAACTTTAATCACCTTTTCCCATTTACACTCTAGATAACTAGCAGTGAAACATCACTTTTCCGAAAAACTTTAGGGAAAGATTCATTTGCATATCTATTCACGGATTTATGGCTCTATATAATTTTTAGTTTCTTATATTGACATTTAATAGATTTCTAATTTACCTGGCTCAGTTCCTTATCTTTAAAGTATTACATTTAAGGTCTTCCCAGTTGGTAGGACCCCCTCGGAGCATATGGGAAAGCGAACAAACCAAGGCTTTCTCATTGTCTCGAACCTTATTTTGATTCCCTTCACCATTTCCTTCATCTGACCCTAATCGGGACAAAATATCAGGCAAACAATTCTCTTTACCCCGACGATATCGGATCTCCACATTAATGCTGCTTACCAACAACAACCATCGTTGTAACCTGGGAGACATGATCAACTCCCTGTTATCCTTCTTAAACAAGTGAATCAAGGGCTTATGAACGGTAAAAATCACAAATTTTTCCCCAATCAAATACTCCCTGCACTTGGTTAAGCCAAAAATAACCGCCAAGGCCTCCTGCTCAATCACAGAATACCTGGTCTCAACCTCACGAAAAACTCGCAAGAATAACAAAACGGGTTTCTCTAAGCCCTCTATTACATGTAATAACGCCCCACCAACCCCTTTATTCGAGGCACCCACCGCCATAACGATTTCCAATTCATTATCAAAACACACCAAAACCGGCTCCTTTCCAATTTTTTCCTTTAAAATTTCAAAAGCAATTTGCTGTACATCCCTCCACTCAAAAAGAATTCCTTTTTTTTTAATAAATCATATAACGGCGCAGTGACCTTCACAAAATTCTCCACGAACCGATGATAATAATTGACCATACCCAAAAAGGACTGCAACTCAGCCTTATTGTTGGGCCGTTTCATGTTCGATATATTTTTCAAATTTTTATCCAATGGTTTCACCTCAATCCCATTAATTCGATCACCCAAATATTCGACCTCTGTTACCCCTAGAACGCTTTTCTCCTTACTGGCTCTCAAGCCCTTGTCCCGAATTCTCCTGAAAACCTCCTCCAAACGTCGATTATGCTGCTCCGGCGTTACCCCGGTAATTAACAATTATCCATCTAATAAAATACCTCTTCCAATTCTTGGAAAACTGACGCCATGGTACGTTGAAAAATAGGAGCAGATACACTCAAGAATCTACAATATGCAAATAACCCCTTCGGTGTCGTTATCGTCAATAATTTACGAATTTTCTCCCTCAACGGTGTAAATACGCTGAAGAAAAATCAACCTTTGAAAAATATTTTGCCCCCTTTAACTGAGCCAAAATCTCTTCAATCCGAGGCAACGGATATTTAACCTCCACTACCCATCTATTTACAGTTACCCTGAAATCAGCATAGCCTCAATTTACCATTTGATTTTTTAACCGAAACCAACGGAGTGGCCCAATCGCTATATTACACCGGAATGATGACACGATCTTCTACCCATCTCTCCAATTCTTCATCAATCTCCTTCCTCCATTCAAAAGGAACCCTCCGACAAGCCAAAAAATTCGGCGAAAAACTTTCTCTAAGTAGAATATCCACCTGATAATCATTTAAACATCCCAATTTTTATTCGAAAATTATACCATATTGTCCTGGGGATAGCATGGTTCACTTTATCCCATTAATTTATTCCCCCGGCCATAATTTGATCCTCATTGCTCTCAACATTAATCCTCGATTTGCCTGATCTACCCCTTACTTCTTCCATTCCGCCAATTTTTTTATCGAGGTTTTCCGAAATTTCCTCCCGTTCAACATCAACTATTACATTACTATTTATAGTGAAAATATTTCAATAATTATTAAGAGGACCCAGCTGCTTAATCCAATCCCAACACATAATGGGTTTCCACATTTTCCTTCACAACCCATAAATCCAGGAAAAATATTACATCATTCAGATTAACCCCCAGTTTGGCTTTGCCTACAACGGCAACTTCTGACCCATCAAATTGCCTGACGCACATAGATTCTTTTTCCAGTTTACCCCTAGGCCAATACTTATAAAAATTCTCCTGGAACATTAAAGAAAAACTAGCCCCGGTGTCAAACAACATCTCTATATTCCTATGGTCAATTTCCAAATTAACCCTCGGACACATACAGGATCCATTTACTCTCTCCGTCATTAAAATATCATGTGTTTTAATCGGAGAGTCAGTGTTTATTCTATCGGAAATAACAATTTCATTAGAATTCACATCATCCCCCAAATTTAACTCGGAATTTAAAGACTTACTACTGACAATCACATTTCTTTTAACAAGATTTGTGGGACATTTTTCCCAACTAAAATTCCTGACATCCCTTCTAAGGGCATAACGGACAATATTCCTCGGATACTGCTCCCACTTGAACCGATTAACTTCCCTCCCATGGAAATAAGGAGGATAACTACTTAGATTAACCATATCAAATGTTTTGTTTTAAAAAATTTTCTGATCTCTCGGAGCCCCGACTCCTATATGATTCACTTTGCAATCATATAGTCAACACAAATTTTGATATATTTCCATGCAGTCCACGGCCACATGTACCGGCCTTTTACACCTAAAACATAACCTAGCCCCGTTCATACTGACCATCTTTACATTGGCATTTCCTACTTCAGATTTCTTTAACGGAAATCCCTCTTTAAACCTTTGCTCTGGGACCACGCAAGTATCCCTTATGTGTCCCCTCCACCCACAACGATTACAAATGATAATCTCTTCAAATCTTTTGTTTACTGACACTCCATTATTATGGCACTTCACGGGATTTTTGCTCAACCTCATCATTGCATTGATGACTTCCTTCATCTCCTTTACTTCTTGGAGGATCTTCCCGGACCTCTCCAAACCAATCCCAACCTTGATTTCAACTAAAACATCTTTTAGACTACTTTCCAAGTCTGCTACTTTTTTAACATAAACAGCCAACACCGGAGTGTCCTTTTTAAAATTGCCATACATTTCTGCCAGTACCGCAGTGCAGTACCCCTTTTCATCAAAAATTTCAATATAATTATCAATAAATACACAATTACCAATATCCCAATAGTAATCAACTGCTTACCTAAATCCAATTCATTAAAGTTCTTATACAAAATTTTATAACTCAAATCCTTATAAAAGAGAACCATATCACCAAAACTATGCTCCCCACCATGCCTTAAAAAATAAACCATTTGCTTATAAACTTTTAATTAAGATCACCGCCCAATTAATTCAAACTAAATAAAAATGCTTATATAAAAATAATAATATACGGTATTATTACCAAAAGAAAAAAATTCACAATTAAATACGTATTTAGCGTTAGTACTACTGCGTTGTCAAAAATTTATCAGATAAAATATATATCAACAAAAATTTTGTTTTACCTTTAAAACCGAATCACTCCAAATCTTCCGATCCGCGTCACGAGCACCACTGAAAGGATATTCACTTTGTTCCGATCTTACTGACAACAATTATTTTCTTATCTTGCTCTGAATAAGACACACTAATGATCTTTTTTACAAATTTCACAAATCTAGAGGCAATAATATTTTATTCACTACAAAATTTATGGAAGTAATTTTATTGTATATTTATATTCAGAAAAATTCATAATTTTATTTAATTTTAAATTCATCAAGAAAAATATCGTAATCTTTTTTTAAAAAAAACTCCTACAAAAAAAATAAATAAAATAATATGATGCCTATTTTATATTACATAACTTCTTATCGGAGAAACTAAAACAATCACGTGTGTTATAATATAATTTTAATCCATTCAACCTTGTTAAATTCGGTTGATTGGCATTACATAATAATTATATATTGATTAAAGTAATATCAAAATACGACATGCCACCCCTTTATGGGCCAATGGCATGCCTATAAAAAATATATCACACTAATCATATATTTTTTCATTTTTATCATATAGTTTTTTATATATTGCTATATTTTAAGTAATTATATTTCTTATATATTTTTTTTAATTTAAAAAAATATTTTTGAAAAAATATATAAGTTAATAAAATTGCGTGATAAAGTGTGATTAAGTGTCGCTATCCTCTAATTTAATATTTTACATAGAAGTTTTTCTCACGTCTCTACGCACTAGTATAGTAAAAAGTACAAATTCTAGACGGATCAAAACCTTATAATATCTATCATTTATTCGACTCTTTATACATCAATATCATGGTAAATATTAGCCATTATGGTAGGCCTGACTTTCTCATGACCCACTTGTTATCTCACGGTATTTAAATGCCTTCTCCTGATCGATGAATGTAGACCTACAAAAATACAACGAATAATAAAATGATTATTCGATTAGATTCGTCAGCATATTAAATATATTTTGTAAAATTTAACTATGGATAAAAGACAAACAAATTTTATTAGTAAGATAATATAGATACACAGGGATCCAAACCGAAACGAATATCGGTTCGGGTTCAGGTTCGGATAAAAATAACGGTTTAAGGTTCAGGTAACCGGTTTGAACACTTTTGTATTCAAACCTACATTCGAATTATGTATAGGGAAAATATTTTTTTATTTTATCATTAATTTAAAAAAATACATGTATAAAACCTACCTTTTATTTTAATTGCACACTATAAAATAAAATTTAATTTATAAATATAAAAATAAATATCAATGATTAATTTTAATATGAACAATATTTTACTTTTTTTACTTAAATTTTTTTTATTAAGCCACACAATTAATATATTTTCAAAATTCGTCCCACTCAAATTACATCTATAAGGAGATAACTTATAAATTTAATTGTTGAAAAACATCTTTCCATAGTCCACACTAACTCTGGTAGCATGCACTGCCAATATGATATCAGATTTGATATGTGATTTATAATAATATTTTGGATTTAATTTTTCTCTAAGCCTTATAATTTATAAGCTTAGAGGAAAATGTTGTTAAATGACAATTTACTAAAGTTTACAAAAATTATTACCGACACTTATCAATCAAACGTGATTCATGATAATCTTTAAAATAATTAGAATATAATTGAAATTTTTTCATTTATACTAATAATAACTTACATATTATTTTATAAGCATAAAATCATGAGTCTCGAACCGGTTCAGAGGCATTTTATCGGTTCTAGTTCAGGTTCGGTTAGAATTTTTTTAGCGGTCTAGGTTCGGTTCAGGTTCGATAAAAAATACCGGGTTTTAGCGGTTTAACGGTTCGGTTCAGGTTCGGTTTGGATCCCTGTAGATACATATATAGTATATTTATATATAATGTAGAAAAATCAATATAATATTCGTATCATGTAGTAGACAAATATACCAACAACAAATTTTTTAAACACAAAGTTTTTGCAAAAATCAAATTTATGATTTCTCCATCATCATCAAACAAAGGAGAAATATCTGGTTCGCCCGTCATTCTTGACGGGGATAGCTACTAGTTATTTATAATTGTATATTTGTTATAAATTACATATAAATAAATACTTTCCGTCCATCATAAAACAATTTTCGGAAGTTATTTTGTATTATGAATTATTCGAATAAAAACAGCCGTTAACAACATTTAGAAATATAAAATGTTTCTTCATTATTCCACTAGAAAATTTTATTAAATAGGAAGAATTGCAAATAATTCCTACTAATAATATATGATTATTTTTCGATATTTATTAATATAAATTATTTTAATCGAATAATCTCGAATAATTTGATCGAATAATAGATAAAAAATTATTCGACGAATAATATATTTTTTTAATTCGAATTCGATTCGAATAATTGTGTTATTCGTATTCGTAAAATACGAATCGAATATCGAATAACAAATAATTCGTTTTAGGTATAGATGAATGCATAGTAAAATTACTTTCCCTTCTGTTAAATCTTTTCTCCATTTGCCTTACTTTAATAACGTTCTAAAATAAGGATCGGATATAAAAAATTAAATTTTTTCTGATGGGGGTGGTGGCGTTTCTAAAAATATTAAAGGTCGCTCATTTATTCTCAATAATTTTTCTGACTCGAACCCCCATTGCTTCATTAGTGTGACACGCTACTGGTTATAACCAAACTTTACTTTAAAAACTAATTTTTATAATTTAAAAAGTAAAAGGGGTAAAAACTACTTCTGGGCCCAGGGTGACTCCTTCATTTTATCGGAAATAGGAACATTGCAATTGGAATACGAATTATTATCAAAATTATCCGGCCTCGATATTTATGCTCAAAAAGTTATTAAATTATATATATATGTGTATTACTTTTGGAGATAACTATCATTTTTTTCTTATTATTTTTAAGGAGTGATTTATAAATTAATAATATATTGACGCTTTTTATGTCATATTTACTTTCGCTCTATATTAAAATTCGTTTTAATTTTAACGATAAAATTAAAATCAGGTTATACGCTCCTTATTAAATTCTTAGAAACACTTCTAAAACTAACGTTATAAGTCATGAGATTTATTTGGGAAGAATAATCATTATAGTTTCGTAGTTATAGTTACTATATTTCTAGCCGTTTAAGACACTTTTTAGCCGATCTTTTAAACTATTGGCTTCGGAGTTTTTTTAAAAATACAATAGATTTTTTTCCCGGCAAGCGCCTGTAGATTGGGCCTAATTAGCCGACATTTAACTATTACTCGGCTATAATAATCAAAACATGAAAAGCGGAAAAGCCATATTAACGGATTATTTATACTTGAATTTCCATATTAAAGGGTTATTTATATTTAGACCTGTGCCCGTAAATTATCGGCAGCGGCTGCTTATTTTTCATTGGCGATTATTGGCACGCCAAATACGCCCCCGCCGAATAAATTGGTGGCACGGCAGTGCATTTGGAAATTTTATTAAATAAAATTAATTTATAATTGAATATATTTTATATGATTTATTTGAGCATTGTTTCATAATTGTTATTAGAGTTCGACATCTTTTCTTTGTCCAACCCTATAAATAAATTGATTTTTTATATTTTCATAAAAAAATAAGATACAATATTTAAAAATTTTTTTTTACTCTATGAAGGGATTTAGAGGTCGAGTTAAACAAGGCCTTTATTATATTTATCCAATGAATTACAAATAACTAACTTTTATAATCAAAATATATCTTTATATAAGATATAAATTAGTCATGTATATAGTATGTTCAATTATTTAACAAGACTAAAATTAATATGTCAATTACCATAACAAGAAAATATATTTTTAAATATTTGAGTTACTGTTTTCCGACAATATACAAGCATACATTACATATAATATAATTTTATTTAAAAAAAGACCATTAGAATAAAATAAAAAATATTACTAGATATATCGAATTTTTTTTAAAAATGTATGTTAGATGGGGAAAATTGAAGATATGCTGATTTATACTTGTGGTAAGTTAATTCTTCCTTATATAGAATACAATAAAACCTTACGTTGCATTACATGGGGAAAGGGAACAATAATTAATATACTAACAATTCATAAATATGGGGAGGTTAATATAGCTCTCCAATATAGCCTTTCGTAATTTTAATTTTAAAAAACTCTAAATGGGGCTTAATTGATAAGGAATGAGAAGGGAGGGTTCTAAATAACTCTCCATCATAGTCTTTCGTATTTATAATTTAAAAAACTATAAATTAGACTATTACTGGATATTTACTTAAATCTAGTATTTGTTTAACTCGATTCTTAAATCCCTTCACTCAGTTACATTATGTTATTTTACAAATTTATTAGCATAATATTAAAACAAATTTATATATAGACAATATAATATTATGATAGAAATTTCGGATACAAACAAAATATTAAGGCAAAAAATCTAAATTAAAAATCGCTAGGAATTAGATGTTTCTTTGGCGATAACAATTAAAACAGCGATAGAAAAGATTCATTTTCTAGTATGTACTTGTTGCAAGTATATAAAGAACTTTCTAGCTCGCTAGTTCCAGGCTTTTTTTACCAAAAAATAGACAATCCATCTTGATATAACATATACATAACCTAGTGAACATATCAAAATTCATATTTAATTTTAATGTTATAATGAGTATTGCAGTTAACTATTTAAAATATAAAAATTAAATAGCATTTTAAATATTTTTCATGCCTCCGCCATATTACAAATCGATGGCCAGCCTTTCGGGGCTACTTAACTCAGCTGGTGATCGTGGTCTTTTTGTTGTTACGAAAATTGCCCACTGCCCACAAATCTGCATATATATACTTTTTTTAAAAAATCTTATTTCATAATTTATTTGTTTTTTTATCTTTTAGGTTATGAAAATTCGAGAGTATTTGAGCAGTATTCCAAAGAGAGATGGGCTAGTTAATAACTATATTGACCCTAACGTTGACGCCCACAGAACATCAATAAGTAACTTGAGAATATTTTTATTTTGATATCTAAAAAAAATTACAATAATTAAATTTATATCCGAAATCTTCCCGTCCTGAGTGGGCCTTAACACGATATGTTTATTAAAAATCCGAACTAGGTCAAAAATTAATTACAATTGTTTTTGAAACCGAAACGGAGTCGAATTTTTTAAATTTATCAATTAATTAGTTGGAAAATGATATAATGGATCCGTTTATTATTGATTTTATTGCTCATTAGTATCAATTTCCTTTTGAAATATATGTAATGTGGCTAAAAAAATAACAAAATTTTAAAAATTTCGGGCTAGGCCAATAAAATGAACAAAATTTTTATAAAATTAAACCTAGTATCATGGCAAGGCCAACATTTTAATTTTTATTTTGCTAAATATGTTTACATTTCATTAAAAGTTAAGTAACTATTTTATTGTTCTTTTATAAGTATTTTTTTTAGTATAATTTAACCCCGTTTTTCCTTATGTTCATTTAAATTAATCTACAAATTTTATAATATTAATTTATAAAAAAACAATTTGATCATGCATCCTGTTATATAAATATGTAATAACGATTTTCCTTTATAAAACATTTTTTCCTTTTAATATTGCAGTATAAATCTGTTATAACATTTCTCAAGGGATTAGAAATTCATAAGTATAAAAACCGAAAAGCATGGTAAATTATAAGATTTTTGGGACCAAATTAATGATATGAAATTATATAAATAAACTGCACTAAAAAAGGGATTAAATTGAAGTGAACTGTTAGCCATTTCTTTTATGTTTGGTAATATGAAGTAAGTATAGAATTTCACAATTATATATATTTTTGCTTGAAATATATTTAGTCCCGTTATATATTATCATTAATTATGATTATCCTAGTGTTATATAATCTTGTCATTGAACCAATTATCAAAATATTGAATTTGGTAAATCGTTATAAGCAAATTATATTTATATCAGAGCCCTGCCCATACAAACTTTCTTTGCTTCAGACTTAATCTTCGGATGCTTTTATGTATCATTTGCTTAAATCGAAAAATAAATAAATCAAAAAACTTTTCAATAACTTAAATTTTTCTAATTGGAACTATTTCTAATAACCGTTTGAGCGATGGACTCGGGACCCTCTAAAAAAAGAAAAATATATTGGGTTGTACAAAAAAAATTCATGGTAGATCAGGGGGAAAAGATCCGATACAGAGCTCTGTTTAATACATATTTTCTTCATCGCAATAAATATAAAGTTTGCTTATTTTTATATTATTTAATATTTTATTATATTATATTGCAATAGATTACATATCGTTGGGAGGCCTGGGGGATAGTTTTTACGAATATTTGATAAAATCGTACATTATCACCGACCGTAAGGATCTTCAGGGAAAATTTATGTTTGATCAAGCTATGAAAGTTTATTTGTATTATTTTTTTAATGCCGTACCTTTTTTAAAAACAATTTTTCCTTTGTGGTGTCTAATGACATATATATTACTTATCTAGCCTGACGATTTATTCATAAAAATGCACCTTTGAAACGTCGTTGAATAGAAATCAGCTGGTGTCAAATAATGAATTACCAGTCTTATGTAATATTATATGTCATTGGGTGCCCCTTAGACTTAATTACCTATTATATCATCTTGAAATCGATAGAATTTGTGGTTTTATATAAACTTAAACTGGAAATAAGACTTCTCCAATTTCTAGGCTGGCCCAGGTTAGCCAGTTTTCTCTCTGATTTTTCTTTTCACATTTTAACGTTTTGTTTCATCAATATTTGTGAGATTTCTTTTTCTCATATTCGCCGCTATCACATTTATCAACGTCATCTTGGGCCTTCCTCTAGGTCTTGATCCTCCTACTTTAATGCATCTCTTTACCCAGTCATCTTTTGTCTTACGTTCCACATAACCAAACCATCTTAGTTTATTTCTTCTCATTACCACTTCAATCATTTCTATGCCCAATCTTGCTCGCATTTCTTTACTAGTTTTTCTCTCTCTCAGAGATACCTCATACATCCATCTATACTCATCTCTATTCTTTCTAATTTAGCTTTGTGCATCGCTTTCATTGCCCATGTTTAGCCACCATAAACTAAACAACTCCTCACACAGCTTACATAAACTTTTCCCTTTAACTTCAGAGAGACGTTTTTATTTGTTAGATTAGACGACATCTTTCTAAACTTCTTCCATGCGTGTCTGACCCTTGCAACAATCGCTGAATCTACACCACCATCTGCATTTAGCATATCACTCAAATAACAATCCGCTTTCCTAGAACCCATTGCCAATATCCAGAATGCCATTTACTACGTTATCATTATTATTATGTACCCCTTTAATGCACGTTCTACAAATAAAGGTCATTCTTGCTAACATCATACTTCCCTTTTCCCGCTACATATATTATGCACCCATTTCTGGCATCTGGTGTATTGGATTGAATTTCTAGCAATTCCTTTCCCATATACACCACAAGGCCAGTTGCGGGATTCCTCCATCTTCAGGTTACCACCAATCACCACCTTTGTCTTTGCTGCATTCATTTTCAAACCCTTTGCTTCCATAGCCATCTTCCATCTACTTATTTTATCCCTCAATTCTTCCTCACTGCTTGCCATTAATACTAGGTCATTTGCATATAATAACTCCCAAAGAAGTCCTTCACACATTTCTCTAGCTACCACATCCATTACTAAGATAAATAATAATGGACTCAGCATGGATTCTTAATGAAGTCCTATTTTCACTTCAAAGCTTTCACTATCTCCATCATCCATCCGTACCGCAGTTTGTGCTCGCACATACATTTCTATCACTTCTATAATCAACCATTCTTCCACCTGAATTTCTCAAGGCCCATCTAGTAACCTCACGCGGCACCCTGTCATAAGCTTTTTCCAAATCAACAAATGCATAATACAGTTTATTTTCCTTCACAAGATACTTCTCCTGTATTTGTCTCACCACAAAAATTGCATTTGTCGTGTCTTTCTCCGATGCAAAACCAAACTTCATTTCATCAATTTTAATTTTTTCCCTTATCCGCTTCTCTAACACCATCTCAAATACTTTCATTACATGTTCCAAGAGTTTAATAGCTCTGTAAGACCCGCAACTAAAGGATCACCTTTACCCTTGTATACTGGGATATTATACTTCTTCGCCAGTTGTCGGGAATAGTTCCTTCTGTGAAAATTTGATTGGCTAAATTCATTAACCATTCAATCCCTTCATCAGAACCTTTAAACATCTCTGATACCACCCTCGTTAAACCCACTGTCTTCCTTTTTTAAATCTTTTTCACTGCTCTCTTTATTTCGTCCTTGCCAAATTTACACCCTTGACCTTCTACCTTTTGCACAACTAACATCATTATCTCATTCATTTTCTTCGTTCCAAAGTCCTTCCATATAGACCTTCCAGGTGTTCTTAATACCAATCACCATTTTTCCTTCCATATTTTTCAAACATTTAACACCTACCACTCCTGCCTCTTTTTTGCCATCTGCTTTGCCATTCGGACCACATTTTTCATTCCTTACGCGCATTCCATTTCTTTAGCAATTTCCTGCCTTTTCTTCTTCCGCTTTCGCTATTACTTTTTTAGCATTTCATTGTAAATATCGTTTTCACTATTTTCTTTACTATTATACCATACTTTGAAGCATCTCCGTTTCTCGTCCACAGCTTTCGCTATCCCCGGATTCCACCACCATGTCTCTTTATGTCTAGGTGACACTTTTGTCCATCCACATACCTCCTCAGTTGTCCTCACCCTGGCTTTCTTCAAGGCCTCCCACTTGTCATTTACCCTGATGCTTGTGCCACTTCCGCCTCTCATCACCGATGTCGTATTGAATTGACGTCTAGTACTCCTTAGTGATACTGGCACCTTTAAAAGTGAGATCTCCTGTAACTAGTTGGTGCTGTTTATAACATTCTTCTCCCGGTATCACTTTCACATTTTTTAATATGCTCCTATCACATCTCCTTACTAACAAATAATCCACTGCACTTTTAGCACTATCCAACTGACTCCTTCCACACCAGCATGCAATAAACTGGCGCCCCTATCCCCCACTATGTAGGGATTTTTAGATAGTAGTAGACAAGAATTAAATATATTTATTTAAGTATTAATAAAAAATTGATTATCATAATTTATCAGTATATATATTCTGGTAAAAGTTAATTGTATATAAAAAACATTTGAATTTTATTTGAATAAAATAAATTATACTAAACCAATTTAATAGATATTATTATTTAACAAAAAGAAAGTTAATATATAAATTTTCCAATATGCTTAACTTATAGGGGCAAAACAATATTAAACAGATAATATATAACAATATATAAATTAGTTGTACTTTGTTAACATTTTAAAATGGGTTTCGGTTTTTATAAATTTTAAGAAATGGCTTCAAGTTTTTAGATTTTTCCGGGTTTTAGTTTCAAACATTGTTCAATATTCAGTCTACTTAAGAATATATATGTACAGTTGTTAACATATTGAAATGGCCTTCTAATATTTACATGAAAATAGTAGATTTCAATTATTATACTTAAATTCAATTTTGCTTCATTGTTTATTGGATTCATCATGAATGATTATAAAATTATGTATTAATTACTCATATGAAAAGCCCTGAAAATACTTAATTGTTTGGAGAAAAAAATCTTTAAATGCTCAGATAAATTCTTAACCCGAAAAAATACTAATTAGTAAGGTATAAAACTGAAACGCTCATATTAAAAATGAATCGCTCAAAAAATTGTCTTAGATTTTAAAAAAATATATCTGAAATTCAAAAAATTTTGAGCTTTAAGATCTAGTTCGACCTAATTTTTACACTTAATTGCTGTTTAGCCTAAGCTAGATAGCTTTTGAACTAGGACGCCCATTTTTGGTTTGTTTTAAGTATTTGGTTTGTTATTAGTTTTTTTATTTATTTTCTCGTTTTTTCTAAATTTTTGCTTTTAAGGCTGCTTAATAATAAGTTATTTTAATTTTGAGCAATTTTAAAGGGAAAAAAACCTGAGCAAAATAATATATATCAATAAAAAATAGCAATAAAGTATCTCCTAACTTTACCTCTCCAATACAGCACATTAACTCATTTACTTTTGGTGTATTATAGAATATAGATTATTTAATTTGATTTTTAAAGGGCGTACAAAAACTTTTAGTACAAAAATCGGTCTCCAATTTAACTTACCTAGCTCAAATCAGAGATGGTAAAATTGAACACAAAATGGATCACTTGGCTTGTTTCTTCGGTTGAATATAATGATTTTTTAAAATATAAGTATATATATATATATCGAGCCTACTTTGTAACCTTCAAGGGTTATTATCTCTTTTATCTTACCACTTATGACTAAGGTGTCCTCTTCGAAAGATCAAAATATTAGGCGAAAATAAAAGTCAATAGCTTATAGTTTAAATAAACATATTTAAAATAAAGCACTATTAATGGTCGTGGACAGGGTTGCCAGATGTCACGATTTAGCCATGATTCGCATAATTTCATACCTAATTTTTTACTTACCCACGTTTTCTCACACTTCACGATTTTCTCACGTTTTTTTGAGTAAATTAAAATAATCACACTTAGTCTAACACTTTTTCTCACGTTTTTAAATTTTTTCAAAATATTTTTATATTTTTTTAAAATATTTTTAAAAACAAATATAAAATTTTAAAATATTTAAAAAAATTGTAGTATTTGTTAATAGTCCAACTAACCAATCCTATTCATTGATCAATTACCCACAACAGAAATTCAATTTTAAAAAGTTTATCAAGTATAATTATAATATGAATTAAATTACTATACATTTCTTTTATGGATTTTATAAATCTTATATTAAAACTCATAAAATTTTAAATGAAATAAATTAAGGGCAAATATTATAAAAGATCTAAAAAACAATCATCCGTTTTCAATACTAACGGATGCATAGAATAAAGGTAATATAAAAACATTTCCCTTATTACTTAGATACTTCAACAAAAAGAATGGAATAAATATTTAATTACTTAAAATTTTTTCGTCTGACAGTGAAACCCCTAAAGACATATCTAGATGCTTGCTACAAAATTTAAAATTCGCTGAACTTGATATTGCTAATGTAACGGCCTATTGTGCAGATAACGCATCTGTAAACCTTGGAAAAATTAAAGTATTTGGACAGAATTGAAAAGCCATAGTAATAATGTTATACCAATGGGTTGTATATGCCACATTCTTCACAATTTGTTTAAAAAGGCCATAATTTTTCTTAAATATGATATTGAGAATATAGTAATTAAATGCTATAATGAATTTCGCAACTCGACAAAAAGAGTTACAATTTTAAAAGAATTGGTAGAATAGTGCAATTTAGATTGGTCATAATCACTTCGCCATGTTCCAACACGCTGGCTTACATTAATCCCAGCGATTAAGCAGATGCTTAAGTATTTTCAACCCCTTAAAGAATATTTTTTATCATTATCAGCAACCCCACCAATTTTGAAAATAATTTTTGGAGATGATTTTGCAGAGGCATATTTAGGTGTTGTCCTTAACGTTGGCACTTTAGTCAATTATATAAATTTACAATTGCAATCTGAAGATGTATTAGCAATATATATACATGATCTTATCCTAAAACTAAAGAATTGATTAAATTTAAAAATTCAACAAAATTTTTATGGGAGCATTTCTAAAAATATTTTACAACATAATAATGATGTAGAAAAGGTAATAAATTTCAAAAATGAATCAAAGATATTTATAAAAAATATTATAGAATATGTAGAAAAACGTTATGACATTATAGATAATATATGGAAATATTAGCCCTATGACATTAAAATAATGTCCAGAATTTGAACAATTACAAAAAATTATTAGTAATTATAAAATACCAAACATAGATACAGAAATTCTCTTTGAGGAATATTCACAATTTTATTCCTATTATGAAGAAAAATTATCAAAAAACAATCAGATGAATACCCAAGAAAAATAGATGGATTTTCTTTCTAATAAAAACTCACCATTGATAGAAAAAATATGCAATTTTATATTTTCTATTCCGAGAATATTCAGTCTAATGACTACTGCTTGGCGAAAAGAACGTCATCATTGGAAGCTGAACTTATGGTTAAACAAAATATAACTATTTATGCAAATAGTTTTCAGCCTATCTCCACAGTGCCGATGGGATATCTTTATTGCCTCTTTTAAAATCATCCATAAAATATAATAATTAATATTATGCTATATTTTTAAACATGAGAAAATTTTATATCATAATTCTTATTACAATAAAGAATTTTTATTGTCTTTAAAATCTTGTTATATTAAATATAACATATTAACAGATGAGTATGCTACATCAATTACCCCGGCCGAAGGCCGGACAAAAGCGGGCCGAAGGCCCGCAAATTGGTGGGGTATGGGTGGCGAAGTTCCTCATTAATTATTATAAAAGAAAAACTCACGTTTTCAAGTGAAGAATATCTGGCAACCCTTGTCGTGGATAGAATATAATCTACAATGATCAGTTATTAAACACACGCATAATCATCGTCTGTTTTTTTTAAAATTATATAAATTAATACATCTTGTCATTATGGGAATAGTTGTTAATTAGGCTAATTTTTTTAAAAATGCTTGCGTTATAATTTAGTACTTGGAAGACTAGGTCTCTTTTGGCTTATTTGTTTCTTCTTTTTTTGAACAAAAAATCTTGTTACGAAATCGCCGATTTTGTTTATAAAAAATTTAAATATAAGACCGCATTTATAGTAAACGCATTAACTTCAAAAGTTGCGTTATTACAGCTGACTAAGTTTTAAAAACTAATTTAAGATAAAACTAAAATAGAGATAATTATTTTATATGATATTTAAGAAAATCGAATTCACTATTATTTTTATAATCGTATCGCATATTTTTTTATCAACTCATTGCAGCATATGTTTTTCAAATTTTATTATAGCTTTATCGTCATAATCATAGTGCTCCATATTTATAAATTTATACCTATTTATGGGCTTTATTTTGTAAAACACTTTCGTTAAATAATTATTTTGAAATTTACCACATTTAAGGCGGTCTCTTAGCTTTAACTAGTCAATACGAACACAACCAAACAACCAGTGACGCATATTTAACCTTGGCGCGCGAAATCACTGAAACTTGTCATCAAGCCTACCTAAATAGTCGTAAGTCTAAACCTTTATAACTATCGTCTTATTGATTTTTTTCATTTTTCTCACATTACAAAAAATTTAGCCTTGCATTTATGCCCCGAAGTATTTCTTTTCGATCCTGATCGCCAATTAGAAGCTCGGACAGATAATTCCAAAGAAGTGCATTATATACTTAGGCCTGAAACATTCGAATCATATTTTTACCTCTACAGAATTACGGGTGATGAAATTTATAGAGACTATGCTTGGCAAGCTGTTTTGGTGAGGATAATTTTTTTTTATGGTATCCTAATTATTTTGTAAGAAAAAATTTTTTAGTTTAATTATTTTGGCGAGTAATGAAATTCTTTTCTTATTTCACTCATTTACATTTTTATATCTAGAATAGTTCGTCAAAACAATACTTAATTTATTTGTAATTCTTTCGTTATATATATATATATACACTATTTTATAATGATTATATTTAACTTCTATAAGTATTCAATTAGATTGACCTTAATAATATAATACGCTATAATATTGTATGACAATTCAAATAATGTTGAATAACCTTTTAAAATATAGCATATCTCATTTCTCATAAAGTTCAAGTTCGTCTATTAATCTTTTTGTTTGTTTTCGTACCCTCGTTGGATATCGGTTTTGAATTCCTTCTTGGCTATTCAATTTTTTCTACTGTTTTATCTTCTCCTAACTTTATATTGTCATCTATTATTATTGGTTCGAGTTCAACTAGTTCCTCCCTTGTTCGTAGTAGGTAGGCGTGTTTTCGTATGATTTTTTTTTTATTCTACTTTATAAGACAATTTAGCTTGTTGATTTTTTATCTTTCCTTCCCTTTTCCAGGGTTGCGATGGTGGATTCCACGGGTATACTGCAACACCTGGTATATCTCTGTTGTTTTTGACATCCTATACAACTGTTAACTAGTTTTTCAACATTTTTATCTAATTGTTCCCACTATATATAGTGATGGATTTCATTGATGTAATACCCGGATGTCCCGTTGAAGTGAGTACGTAATGATTAATATGCCATTCCAAAAAAAAAATACCGTTATCATTTTCTATTTCATCTATTTTTGTTCTATAAAATTGTAATTCTGCTGCTTGATTTTGTATATTTCTACTCTTCTTAAGATTGGATCTTTTGCGGTTTATTCTCTAAGTTTTTTTCTAGATAGAGTTAATGTGTCATGAGTAAGATTTCTTATATACATCACTGTTTTATTTTCACCTCTTATTCTGTCATTATTTTTCTCTATTGGATTTCGCGATGAGCATCTTCAATTATATTATTAGCGCCTAATTTATGGGCCCAACATAATAATCTTGATTTATTAATAAGCTTAAATCTCTGTTATTGCATTATATCTTTATTAGAGGTTTGTGGTCCGTTCGTATTATGAATTTGCGTCCATACAAATAGTTATGAAATTTTTCTACGCCTTTTATTATTGCTTTAGCTTGTCTCTTGTAGAATAATTCTTTTCATCTTCTTGTAAGGTTCTTGAGGTGTACGCTATTGGAAATTCGTTTCCGTTATTATATTTTTGTAGGAGTAAAGCTCCAAATCCTTGGTTGCATCTGTTTCTAATATTAACTCGAGGTACGGTTTATAAAACTGTATAGTATTTTGTTCTGTTACTATTCCTTTTGCTCTTTCAAATAATGTATCATCTTTTTTAGTCCAATTCCATTTAACATTTTTACTACTTTTATTATGTAATTCGACGATAATTTCATGTAAGTTAGTCATGAACCGTGTATGATAGTTTAATATACCTAAAAATGATTTTATGTCATGTCTATCTTTTGGAGTTGGATATTTTTGTATTGCTATTAATTTCTTTATCTGGGTGTATTCCATTTTATCTATTATGTATCCTATACGATACTTTTTCTTTCATAAAATTTATTTTTCTTGTTTTGACTTTTAATCCTTTTGTAATTTTTTGAGGACTTGTTTTATATTCTCTATATGTTCTGTATCATTCATCATTTAAATAAACTGCTGTATCTTTACAGTCAGCCAGTAAATCGTCCATATATCGTTGAAATATTATTGGTGCTGTAGCTATACCAAAAGGTAATCGTAGATAGCGGTAGTATCTATTTGGTGATGCCATTCGATTCTTCTTCAATACTCATTTGTAGATATGCGTCTTTGAAATCTAGTGTTGTATACTTATTTCCAAGCGATCTTTGCTATTAATTCTTCAAACGTTTTTAGTAAAAATTTATTCAATGTTACTTTGAAATCACCACATAATCGTAGTTCACCTGATGTGTTACGTACCACTACCATTGGAGTACTCCAGGTTACTCTTGTTGATGGATCTATTTTCAAACGTTTCAGTTCATTTTAAATTTATACTTTTAAATATAACGATACTCTTTGCTGGTAGTGCAATTGGTTTTGTATTTTCTTCCAATTGTAGTTTTACTAGTTCGACATTTTCTATTATTTCTAATTTATTATCAAACACAGCAAATTCTTTATATAAGTTTTCAATATTCATGTTACCATTATTGACTTTTACCTTAACGATAGATCAACTTCTATAGTCCATGGAAATCCAAATAGCGCTGCATCATTTGTTTTTGTAACTAATAAAGGAAGCCATTTTTTATCATCTAATTAAACTTTTACATAAGCTTCTCCCGTAATTTTTATTGTATTGTTTCCATATGTAGTTAGAGCTTTAGCCATTCTAAGTTTTGGCCTCCCAATTTTATTCCATATTGTTGCATTAATGATGGTTACTGCTGATCCTGTATCATATTAATTTCGTGGTTGAATACCGTAATTTTTGGGCGCTGTCCATAATTTTTAGACTTTTCTTATTGAGAAATCTGAATATTCGTCGTTACTATTGTAATTTCTACAGTAAACTTTTCCTCCCATTTTACAACACACTGCAAAGTGGTTTAAATTCTTACATTTGCTGCACGTTTTTTCGTATGCTGGACAATTCCGAATAACATGAAAACGATTACATAAATAGCACGGTTTTCTTGTATTATTATTTAGCCTTGAACTGGTTCTCTTTTTACGTATGTTTTATTATCATTTTGATAGTACCCATTATCACTATAGTGTCGACTATTATTATCATTTTGATTTGATCGTTTATTATTATCATTATGCGTCTCTTTAATTTTTTAAACCATTTTAGTAGTATTATTTATTTCTAAGTCGGCCCTTTCCATTGCTAAAGCCATTTCTATAACTTTGTTTAAGCTTAATGGTTGGTCTTCGTTTCTAGTATCTGGGTATCTTAAACGTGGTTCTTTATCTAGTTGTGACATCTTTAGTCCAGGCATTACGAATTTTAGTTCTATATTATCTTCAAATTCGCATCTTTGGGCAAGTTCCTTTATATTTTTTAAATAACTCAATACGAATTCTGTTGGTCCGCGACTTAATCTAATGAAATCAATTCTTGATGCCATAACAGTTCTTTCGTCTTTAAAATGTTGTTTTGCAATTTTATATATATCTGCCCATACCACATCATCAATTTTTCTTGGAAATTTTTTATATCAATTATTATATTTATTCCTCCATATGCTATGTATAATTTTATCAAAGTTGCGTCAGTTTGAGGAATATTCTTTACATTAGAAATATATTTAATAAAATCTACATAATCGTCAAAGAACATTCTTCTTTTTGGAATTGATTTAATGTAATTTTTGAAATATCACCCATAATTTTTTAAAAAATATTTAATTTATTTTAAACAAAAAAAATATACAATTCTATTTAACATTTAATTTGACCGAAGACCGCATTTTTTATTTTATCGTCAATTTTATTTCTAGAATAGTTTTCAAAATAATACTTATTTTTATTTGTAATTCTTTCGTATATATATATTATTTTATAATGATTATATTTAACTTCTATAAGTATTCAATTAGATTGACCTTAATAATATACGTTATAATATTGTACATAGGCGTAGCCAGGGGGGGGGGCAAGGGGAAATCCCCACCCCCTTCAGAAATTTATCACTTTTTGTGAATATCATTTCAGCTAATAAAAAATATCTCCCTTAGTTCTCCCCCCACTCCCTGACCCTCAAAAATGTATGCATATATCTTAAACAATAATTTGAAAGAAAGAATATAAAAGTTGATATTTTTTTATAAAACTATTCATCATAATTTATACATTTTTAGAAAAAAACATTTATATATATAAAAAGTGAACCAAGAATGTTTTTTAAGAAATGGAATATAAGTCAAAGATAAGTCTTAAGACAAAAGTGAAATGTATTATAATTATTAATAAAAGATCCATAAAATTACTAAATAATATAATATATCAAATATTTTTTATAAAGTGAGTAATTTTAATATATTTATCTTAATAAAAGTAAATTATAATTATAAAACTATTTATAAAATTAAATCATAAATTAAATAAAAAAATTAAAGCACAATACAAACAGTGGAATATTATATGTCTTAGATTTACAGTATATCTAATTTTATCAATTATCATGACAATGAAGTAATTTTTACCAATATAGCGAATTATATATTTTACAGAAAACTATAAAATATTGATAAGGACATCAGAAAATATCTTTTAAAGACATTGTGGAATGAATAATATAAAGATTAATTTTTTATTTAAAATAAATAGATGGCGTTAAATATTGAATGCAAATTGTTGCTATATTTATTATCAAGAGTTTGATTAGTAAAATTTGTTAAAATATTAACTGTAAAATATGCCTGTAAAAGTGGAATTTTGCCTAGTATTTTGTAACTAATTCTATATAATAGAGGAATATCAACTATATGTCTACATACTTTTTATAAATAAACTTCTTATACTTGTTTGGAATAAATTATTACCATGCTTTTATATTAATGTATATACAAGTAATTTATTATATTTTATATAAACTAATAAAAATATTTTTCATATTTGTTCCAGGCTTATTTTTTTTATTAAAATTAATCTCCTATCTTGTAGAAATATTTTATGACTATATATAGACTAAGGTAAGCCGGCCGAAGCTCGGGAAAAAGCGGGTCGAAAATAATTTTTGAATTCCCCCCCCCCTTAGGAAAATCCTGGCTACGCCTATGATATTGTAGACATATATGTTATTCAAATAATGTTAAATAAATTTATAAAATATAACATACATAAGTGTCGTTTCTATTAATCGATTCTATCCATTTTGTTTTTTATTTATACTTCATTCCTTTTATTTATTTTTATTTTTCCCATAATATTTATTAACTCGCATAAATAAAGGCTTTGGAAGAACACACTAAAATTGGGGTCGGTTATTCAGGAGTGCGTAACGTATACTCTACTCGTTCCGACCACGATGACGTTCAGCAATCTTATTTTATGGCGGAGGCCTTGAAATATCTCTACCTTATATTTTGTCCCGACACCTATTTACCCTTAGACAAATGGGTTTTTAACACCGAAGGCCATCCACTGTTAAAGCACTATCTTTTACCAGGCTTGGATGATGATCAAAATCATAATGAGGAAAGGGGGGAAGATATAAACGACGATGGGGCTGCTTTGGATCTCGAGAGGCAGGAAAGCGAGAAAGTTCAAGAACTGCAAGATATTGAGGAGAATGGAGATAATGCAAGGAGAATGGACCCCGTGGAATCAAATAATCAAGTGTGAAATGAAAATTTTTCGCCTGTTGAACTTTGTTTTCTCAGATATAGATTATTTGAGGATTTATGAAATGGGGATCTGAATCGTTTTTAAAATTGTTTTTTTCGATTCTCTGGGGAAGTTTATTTATGAACAAAATAAAGTGCTAATAATTACAATTTTTTTTAAAAATAATCTTTTTTGGTTGGGGTTTAGACGTGGATGCAAATTTAAAATGTTATTTTTTTTATACAAAAATTTAGGTTTCATTAAACATAAGACTAAACTATTTGTTTATCTAATCATTTTACATGCGCAAAAATATTGTAAATAAAATATATCTTCACCTTATTAAATAAAATGATAAAGGATTACATTATGTTTATGATTGCAAATAAAGTATTCCTTCTTCTGTTTATTATGTTGTAATGATTATTTTTTATAATGATGTAATAGGCAATATTCATAAATTTGACTAGTAATTTTATTACCTATAAATCAGACTTAAATTGGAGTTTATATTTGTTACTTTTTTATTAGGTGATATAATACAAATTTTAGATTATTTGAGGAGTCCGATTTGAAGTGGAATTGATCCGTCCGATCATTGAGTTCTATTTTTCTCATTAGTTTCCCCTTAAAGTTGAATTTTCTGACAACAATAAATTCCAAATAGCGAGAACTTAAGTGTCATATATATAATAATTTATTATTTAATATACAAAACCATTGATTTAAACCAAATCTGAATTGTTAAAACGGTATTAACCGTTTTTATTTACCGAATCTGAACTTTTAATAGTTTGTCACATGAACCGAACCTCCAAAAATGTATTCAACCGGGTTCTTTTTCTTTTAAAGATAATCAATTTTGAATTTCAACAATTATTTTTAAATATTTTTGTATATTGCTATTTTACGGTGTCTTGTCAGCTACCCAATTTAGCATATAGAAGTGTTCAATATTATTTTTTTAGAGAATAGTGATTGAATTTTTAAAAAATATTCATTTCTTTACACTTACTCTTGTATTCGAAAAGTTTGAACCGATTTTTAAAGGTTCAACCCGAACCTATATTATTATTTTACGAACCGTTATTTTTATATGAACCTAAATCTGAACAGATATTCGTTATGGTTTATATCCCTAGGTAAAACAAGATATTTTTCCAAGTAGCTTCTTTTTTAACAATAATATTACCCCATTTGAAAATCTGAAAAATCTCAGCAAATTTTTTTTTCTTCTTTTGGACAAATGTTTAACCTACCCTTTTTAATGTCCTTTTATCCTATGTTTTGAGTTTTTAAAATATTTTGTAAATTTATTTTTCAATAATTATAAAATTATAGATAAAAATTTATCTTATTTTTACAAGTATTTTTGAAAAAAAAATTTCAAAACAAATATTGAAACCGATTGTTAAAATAGAGATATTTACCTGAATAATATATTTGGCAAAATTTCAAACTCCTTCCAAAAATTTGATTACGATTCGATCGCATATTTAAGTTATCTTTTATTATATTTATATTATATCATTTATAACAACTATATCTAAATATTCAAATCATATACTTTTCAAATTGATATAGGTTATGAAGCATTAAATTTTCCCCAAAAATATTAGTTTTTCCCATGTGCGCACATAAATTTAAAAAAAAACTATTGAAAAGAAATTAAGCATTGCAAATAAATTGGAAAGCCACTGAGAGTGCGCATAAAAACATAATGAACAACGGTACAAAATCATACAATTGACCATGTGTATTCCAGTAGTTATAACCTTGTATATTGATAAAATTTATAATAAAAATATTAAAGCAATGTAAAAAATGAATTAGTTTTGATATTTTGCCAAATCGCGTTAAAATTCTTACTTATTAATTTTCTTCAGTTGAGATAATTAATCATTTCACTTGTTATTGATTGCTGTATCAAATTAGATATCAGCAAAATTGATTTTTTTTTTCGTCCCAAGGCCGGCCATCCAAGCGCGAATTCGCTGCGAATTTGTATTTTGGCCGCGAATTCGCGCTGAGTAATTCTAGGTTAGCCTTTTGCCAACAAATAATTTTTAGATGCCTGCTTCGCGGTTCTGACATTATAAATGGAATTTGAATATATATAATGATTATTTTAATATTATGCAGTAAATTTAAATATTCAATTCAGCATCCTAATTTCATTAATTTTTTCTATCTTATTCTATTACAAAAAATAAAATATTTCTCACTTTATTTTTTTTAAACTCTCCATTTTTTCCTTCTGAAATCAGTCAAAATAGGAAGATTAGTAAGAAATATATAGAATTAATATTTTTTGGACCATGGGTCAGGCTTATATTTTATTGATGTTAGCCAAGTGACCCGATATATTATGTGGCAAAATATAATTGATAAAATTAACAATAATATGGCACTGGCATCTTTCCCTCAACTTTATCAGCGGCTCCTACCACGGCAGGGGTAGAACCTATGAAGTAAAATTCTTAGGGATAAGTCGCAGGATGTATGCCATTTAAATTCTTAGAGGGGTAAAAAATTAAGATTATTGGATTCCCTTCTCCTTATTAGGGTAATTTTGATATTTATAATATTAATTTACTACATTTGAATCTACAATAATTCTATTAATGATGTATGCAATATATTTACCATTTTTGTAATAAATTATTTAATTGTCTTATTTTTATGATGCAATTATCATTATATTTCTTTTTTTTGTAATCAATAAAATGGATATTACGCTGACTATATTATATTGTTTAAATATATTTGAGATTAAAAATATGGGGAGGGGGTTAAAAAAATTCAAGGGTAGTGGAAGTAATTGGCCTAGGAAGCCAGGGAAGGGTCTAGAAGCCGCTGAATTTTTTTTATTATAATTTAAGCTTATATTAAATAAAATGTTAATTTTACTTCTGGCAGCATATTTCCAAAATAGTATTGATCGGTGTATTATCCACCCTGAAGCACAGATGGAGCATATTAACTTTCCAAATATTTGGTTTAAAAATATTGTATAATTTTAGTTTTTTAAATATTTGTCTATAGGCCTCAAAATTTTCCTGGGGGGGAAGGCACTATTAGTCTAGATTTTCCCCATAAATTTTATAGGGGATATTAAAGCTTACATATTACAAGCCTTTTTTTTAAAGATAATTTTGGTTTCCAATTTTTTTAATATAAAAATGTGATATTTAAAAGAACAGACAAATTTCTGAAGAAGGTGAAAATTTCCCTTTGCCTCACCCCCTGGATAAGCCTATGTATTGACATTTATAAAAAAAAAGGAATGGTGCCTTAAATATTTTCAACTTTGAGGAGGGCACTTTAATCTTTAAAATAGGCATGAAAAGGCAATAATTAGCAAAAAAGAAATTCTCTAAAATTAGCGAAAATGGAATTTCATATTTTAAAAAAATACATATAATAACTATACTAATTTGACTAAACATTATATCATGTTCGAAACATCCGATTTATACTTATACTTAAAAATACAATACCTTCGCCTTTGATTTATTTTAAAAATGAAAAATCGATTTATTAAAAATGTTAAGAAAATATGGAAATTAGATCAAAAGTGACATAATTAAGGAGACAAAAAGTTAGAAAAAATTGTAAGAATTTTTATAACAAAAATTTTTTAAATAAAATAACATTTGAGGATTATTAATTTAAAAAAAATACATATATAATAAATAATTTTCCTTTTTTATTGAACCTTTCCTCACGGAGCTTCCTTTATTGATCGGATCCTTTCCTTTTTCGATTAACCCCTCTTTTTCTTTTTTAATTGGACCTTTTCTTAAGTATTTGGTACTTTTCCTTTTTTTTTATCTGACCTTACTTCAGGACTTTTTTTATTCCCTTTTTGAATAGAAAACCCTGTACTAAATTTTAAAATATTAAATCGATAGATTTTTTAAAAAAATATCAAACGAATTTCCCAACCTAGTTTTTTCCCTTAATTGTAAAAGTCCAAAATCTAAAAAACTTATCAAGTACCGGATCCGATCTTGTAATCAGACCCCGGTTATTTTGAAATTTCCGAAATTTTTAAAACTAATAGTTTATTTCCATTCCACTGACAACTTTTTTTTAAAATCTTCCTTGTTTGTGATAGGTCTTAACTGGACTAGGAAACTATTATTAAGGTGGCAAAAGCTGGTTTGGATGATACCCATCAAAAAAATTCCTAGCCACTATCATACTAATCTCGTTTCCATGCCCTAGAATATTTTTTAATATTTATTTTTTAATGCTTCTGCAATTTCTTAATTTATAATCTGTACCGATATTCTAATGAATTATGTAAATATCAGGAAACTTACTATATTTAGCAATAAAAAGAAAAAAATCTTATAGCATGTTTTTTTAATTCTAATTGAATCTACAACTGTCAAGAAAAATTAAGCAATTGTTATTTCAATCAAAATAATTACATTTTCTCTATATCTCATTTTCGTCAATTTCAATTGAATATTTCTTGTAGAGATAAAGAAAATTAAAATTTTGAATTAGAATTTTTCTTTCGATAACCCATTCCTCTGCAAATGCAAAAAATATTTATGGGATCGGAAGTTAACTCACAAGTAAATAAGGAATACCTATTCTTGTGTTATGTTATATTATGAACTCATAACTATATCCGCTATATTCTATTTATACATATTAATATTTTCAGGAAAAATTAAAAGTTCACTTATAACAAAATAATAAAGTAGTGTAAATGAGAAATCATGTTCAATATTTTTAAAATTATGATGGGTGACAAACTACCCAAATTTTAATATTACGAAATTTACTAAATATTTTTGGCTTTTCAAACATATAAAGATCCCTTGATATTTATGTCATAATCAGAATTGCAGGTTATTGAAAACATTTTGCAATGGCCTGAGATGTATTTAGTACATACAACTTAGAAAATTTATCGTGGATATTCTGGGGGATGGGAATAAGACTATTAGCCTGAATTTGATATTTCGGTTTTCATAATATTCACTATACGAGTTCACAATAACGAATTATACTATAACAATTTCACATTTAATGAGCGAAATAAAAAATTAATCAATTTTAAAAAATTTATTTATTATCAAAATAAAAATAATTTAAAATTAAAGTTTTACCGGATAACTCATTCCTCCAATCAATAACAAGAATATGTAAATGGGAAAAATATCTTGGCTAAATTAAAAAAGAATGTTTATAAATAAATAATTTTATATAATATACATGCTTTTAAAATGCGCCTTCATAAAGTTTAACGGACTTTGAGGATTTTCCATTATGTATTCCATAGGAAACTATTTT